TTCCTCACACAACATTTTCTGAGCGAACAAATATTGTTCTTCTTTGTTCCATTCAAATCACTCTCAGAACTACGATGAAATGTGTGCCATCGTAACAAATGAGAGCATTTATCGAAAAAGCAAACTATGACATTTCAAAATAGAAAAATTTAATGAAATTTCAAAATTTTTCAGGAAGACTGAAAATTATGAATGCAAGATATAATGTTGAATGACGTATGTGCATTCAATCGAAAGTAAATTTTGTTTTCTCTCTCACCCTTCAACCGAATTTAAAAACAGAAAAATGCAAATTATATATTATATGTAAAATGTCAACATTTATACAAAAAGTTCAAAACGTGAATGAAAATTGTTAAATGAAAGAAAGAATATATCTTTGGAGGAAAAAAATAATTTCTTCTATTGTTATTAATGCTAATTTCATGTACTTTCGTACAAATTCCTATGAAAATCAACAAACAAAATATTTAAAAAAGGATTTATGTTACTATAAAATACAAATCGTGCCGTATAAACGGGTTAATTCTTGTACCTAATTCTAAGAGCGAACAACGTAATTGAAAGTGCAATGAGAACATAGCATAAGTGATGGGTGTAAGCCATGGTACAATTATTACAAGGTGGTGACAAAATCAACAGATTTAACTCTTCAGTATTACTAGTAATTTGATATGGCGTTCTGTTGTTTAATTCCATTTTTTGATATACGAAAGGTACACTTTTTATACCCACCTGCATACTACTGTGACTCCTAGAAACTCTCATGGCACAATTACAGGAGGTGCCCCTATTCTGTCAAAACATATACACAGTTTGTAGATGTGTGTGTTGTTTTAAATAAAAATAACACATATGCATATTTTCCACGTTAACAAAATATACATATCCATATTCACTATTCTGCATATTCTGTATATATCCATTGGGTATACAATAGATTTATGAATATAGATTTTAACAATGACATGTTTTCAAATGTATAAAATTGAAAAAATGTAAACATATTATTACATGACTTTACCTTCTTAGTTCTACCATGATTGTGCCTCTATTTTGGAGTAAAATATTCTATTATTGTTTTGTGAAAAAATGTAAAATAAATATATGTGTCTATTTGACACGAAATGGTCTAAGCACAGAGTTGCATTTTCCTAGTTTATTTAAAGTTGAACCACCTCTCTTATTATTATTATGAAAATACTCATGTTAGACCCCACAGAGTATATATATTCTCGATCAGCGTTAAATTCTAAGCCGATTTAGCGGTGTGTGTCTGTCTGTTGTAAACACGTAGTGTGTTGTAGAATCGCACTACTGACCTTGGTAGAATTAAGAAAGTAATGTCAGGCTATCATATGTTTGCAATTTTTCCAAAATTATGCATATAACAATATCTCATTAAAAACGGAAATGAAATATGGAAACCTGTCTTCAATGAAGTCACAGAGCTGGATATTATTTTTTAATGAGGTTATTTTGATTTTATTGCAACATGTTTCACCCATGGTACAATAAAAATGTAAGGTACCAGCTGATCATTTTTTTTTTTTTTTGAAAAATAAAACAAATTTTTTTCAAATCAATGATGGGAAAAAACTTAAATTTCGAGCGCGCATATTAACCACTTTTACCATGGGATTGAAAGATTGAGATATTTGAGATAACCTCCATGCCATTCATTCATCTTTCGGGTTATTTGACTCTTTTAAGAAATGAACAAATAATATCAAATAAACGAAAACTAAATGTTGCATAAAATTTTGAGTAATTCTGACAGGAAACGGGCATAGCCTCAGGGCTGTATTTCTTTGGTTTTACGAAGCTGTTCTACCGCCTTATTGTACCATGATGTTCACCATAAGAGTTGAATACATAATTTATATGAATTGGTCTGTTCCCGAACTGCAAAAATGTAAAACTTTTTACTACGATAACCGATTTTCCCGAAATTAGTCGAACGTATGAAATTTAATTCCACTATGATACCATATGATTTCAATTTTTTTTATTTTCTTGGCTTAATATGTCATCTTTATTTGTTTATGTATGTGTTTTCTTTTCAATAACAAAAAAATTGTTCAGAAAACATTCAAATTAGGATGTTTTCAAAATGTTTATTTCATCGTATTCATCGACAAAATCTCGAGTTTTTGTAGCGAAATAATCCTTTAGAGATATATAGAACCTGGTTTTGAAAAGAAGTGCTGACCTTTCATTCGGTTTTCGCGGTTTTCAATTATTTATTCAAAATAAATGCAACAAGTTGTTTGATTTTTTATTGTTTTGGTACTAATTCTGACATTACAAGCCAAACCGGTAGACCTCTATATTTGCATTTTTTTTAAAGTTGGCCTACCTTCTCTTCATTGTACCATGCTTGAACCCAATTACTTAGACAACAAATTAAATATTCCTAGGCCTAATAGTACGCTTACCGGTTTTAATGTGAGAATACATAAGCAGCTTGGGCTCATGACTAGGCATAATAATGACAAATTAGAAGGAGAAACGACTCATGACTCGAGTTCGTCTCTGTTATCCCTTTATGATATGTCACAAAATATGAGATGTGAAGACTTTAAGCTGCTTATGTACTCACACCTTTAGTCCAGTAAATTTAAATAGTCGATACTCCTGTTAAATATACGTCAAATAAATGGTCATAAAGGATTGTGCTTGATGTTTTTGCGTAGACTGTAGGTAGCAATTCTTCATTTTTTACCCACCACCTCCAAATATTCGTCAGATACCGCATGATCAGCCCGTCTATCCGTTGAAATTAAGATACAAGTACAGGCCATATTTTATATAATAGTATGCATTTGTTCTGTTCCAGAACGGCAATGGTGCAAATGTTTTTACTACAATAACCGATTTTCCCTTTTATGATATCGAAAACAATTGCAAAACTAGAAGAGGCTTGCCGGTTGTGGAGCAGAGTAATTGTTTCTAGAATGGCTGGTATTCAAAAAGATGTACGTTTTCGAGTAGCTCTATACAAATGGTATCTTTCGATTGTCGACAAAACAGAAGGTAGAAAAATGGTCTGTACCAGAACCTGCAAGAATCTACTAGTTTTGAAATTGTTTTCGATATCATAAAGGGAAAATCATTTATCGTAGTAAAAAGGCTCCTAAATACAATTTTTTTTTTTTTTTTGGTGCCTTTAATAGCATGTTTCCATTGGAAACCGAACAACGTTGTTCGCTCTCAGAATTATGTACACGAATTAACCCGTTCATACAGCACGATTCGTAATTCATAGTAAAATAATTCCTGTTTTCAAAAATTTTGTTTTTTGATTTTAATGGGAATTTATACGAAAATACATGAAATTCTCACTAATATGAATAGAAGAAATGATTGTTTTTCTCCCAAAGATTTATTATATCATTAATTTTATAATTTTCATTCACGTTTCCAACTTTTTGTGTAAATGTTGACATTTTGAACATATTTTTGTATTTTTCTATTTTTAAATTTTGCTGGAGAGACACTTGTCAAACATTTTTTCTGCCGATACAAAGTTTTTGAAAATATTGCCTCTTTTGTTTGCAGTTTTCTGTGGAAATTTCAACTCGTGGATAAAATGCGTACCTCGAATGAGAGAGAAAACAAAATGTACTTTCGTTTGAATGTACATACGCCATTCAACATTGTAGTTTTCATTCATAATTTTCAGTCTTCCCAAAAATTTTTAAAATTTCATTAAATTTTTCTATTTTTAATTTTTAAATGTCATAATTTATTTTTTCGATAAATGCTCTCATTTGTTAGGGATGGGACATATTTTGTCGTTGTTCTGAGAGTGGAAAAACTTAAAAAAACTTATTGCGTGGAAAAACATTTGCTCTGTCCCAATACCTGTTAGAATCTATTACTACTTTATCGTAATAATATTTTTTACATCCTTACAAGCTCGGGAACAAAGCAATATATTAATCCACGGTTCTCGACATTTGGTAATTTGATGATATTACTCACATGTTTCCAGGTATTAACCTTAGATTGGCGTCGTGTAATAAAACATATTAAAAGCTACTTGTTTTTGTACGGTATAATAATACTGTTACCTGTACAACAATCGTAACAACAACCACATACAAATTTGTTTTTGTATGTAATACAACTGTCAGAGTTATATTTCCAAAAATGTAAACAAAATAATAAATTTTCAATAAATTATTTAATTTCAAAAATACACATTTTTGGAATTTGTATTATTAAATTGAAAATGCAGAAAAATACTTCTTAAAATATGTTATTTTAATGCTTTCACATCATTCCCCTGAATGTATATTTGTTGGTCCTAATCTCTCAACACTTCAAGCAATCGATAGAAAATCGCGGAAAAGGAACATCCCTTTCAAGTTGAAACCAAACAGCATACATACTACATTTTGCAATCTAAAAATCTACGGACTAACGGACTTACAAAACATTTTTGTATAGTGGGAAGTTACATATTTGTGTACGCTAAGTCGAATTTTAGGTAAAGCTGTAAAAATCATATGCGCTTAAACAAATATTATGAATTCATTATTTCTTTACATTTATTCATTGTTGGTCTGTTCCAGAACTGCAAGAATGCAAAAGTTTCTTACTACGATAACCGATTTTCCCTTTAGATATTGCAAAACCAGTAGATTCTTGTAGTTTCTGGGACAGAACAATATTATTAATTTATTACTATTATAGAAATCTGTTAGATATTTCTACATCGTTTACGCGACTTGACTTCCCTAACCATTTTAGTCTTGCTTTGGATGCCCTAGCAGCAAATTGTTCTTTTCACCAGACTCTTTGTACATTTTCACCACGATCAGCCCTTGACAACACATTTGAAATGGTAACGGCTTCATCTTCTTACATTCTTATTGAAATTCCTCTGTCTCTTTTACAGCTGATCGAAATCAGCTGATTCAGACAGCTGTCAAATTGTTGGCCATTTCGCGCGCTGCCTGTGATACTCCGCCGCCGAAGTTGTTTGTTGGTGTTTTTAATACCAGCAGAGTGAGAGTAAAAGAGCGAATTTGAGCGAGCTGCCTTGTTTTTTGTCGACGGCAACAGCAACAATTCATTGCGACCACCACGATCTCAACGCATTTGCTGCTCTGTTCTGGTTCTGTGCTGTCACCAAAAAATTTTTCAACCTCTTACACACCGAGCATTGTCAATTGTGTTGCCGTCATCATTTCGGTCAAAGAGTAGCCTGAAAAGTGAACATTTTTCCTAAAATAGTTGCACAATTTAATCTAAAATGCAATAAAACAATAGACGGATAATAAAATGAAGTGGAAATTTTAAGAAACTATAAATATTACCCATGAACAAAGTGAAATTCACCCCTGAAAGTTGCTTGTGTCAAGTGCAATTTTAGCAACGTGGTCACGCCTTGTGATGAATTTATCGAATTCCATTAAAGTTTCGGTGGAGAAATATCTGATCATCTGAGTGTGGGTTATACCTCCTTCAAGTTTGTGACCAGATTTGGAAGGCTTACACCCAAAAATCTAAGCACACTTTCACACATTGCCCCCCATAGGTAGCCCAGCCTCAACTCTTTTGTAACAAATAAATGCAACCAGTGAAGTGATTCCAGCTGCTAAACTCGCAGGATTCTCAGTAACAAAGAATCAATAGGTAGATACATCGTATACATAGGTACTACAAATTCGCTGGCGAATTCAAGGAACCCATATTTAAGGTAAGTGTCCCTCCACCTGTCCACATAGAAGCTTGTCAAATATTCTACGACTAAAAAAGATCTGCGTATTTTTGGCAAATGCATTAGCGTCATTTCAGTTTTTAGTCCATTAATTTGGCAGAGAAGTAGTCTTTAAATGCCTTTCAACCAAACATTTCTAATTTTTCCTTCCATTCATTTGCCTTTTATCGTTCGGCTTCATTTTACGTGTTTTATTCCATCTCATCTGTTCAGTCGCTATGGCCGTCGACGTCAAATTCTGGATTTTTGCCGCTTTTTTCATCGAAACGAGAGTTTTTTTTCCTAATCACCTCACATATATTTTGTGGTATTTGCTGCAACGGCAGCTCTTCACTCTGCTATCATCCAGTTATTCTGCTCTCTCGCGCCTATATTACCAAGTGCGCGCGCTACTAACTGTCAGTGTCAAGTTCTCATTTTCTCTCTGTTTCTAGCGCAAAAAGCCCGCGCGCGCCAAAATCGTAAAAAATAAATGCAATTTATTCTTTCATTATTGCACTAATTTTTAATATTTATTTAAAATCTGATTCTACAGGATCTAAGCTTTTCGAAATGGTATAACTTGTGCCAGGTTTCATTTAAATTCCATAAAAAATATTTACTTCAAATCAGGTCTAAAAACGTCAATTGTGTGTTTGTTTTGTAAACATTTTTGTTGCTGTTTGTTTGGGTTGCAGTGATGCCACATCGCAAAATAGAGTTTATCGGTATGTGTGGCTTGTTGAATGTGCTGACACTCAGTGGATCACTCACACAATTAATTAGTTTGGTTTGTGTTTTTTACATTTCAACGTGTTGCATGTTCATGTAGAGATTTAGTTGGTGTTAATATGTGAGGTTCTTACATTCGGTACAACAAATAATTGCTTTTCGACAAGTGCACAGAAATTGTTCAACAATTAGGACATTTTATGAGTTATTAAGATTTCTTTACTGCATGGACACTAATGCATTGATTTGGTGGAATCGATATAAATTTTCTTGAAAAAATTCCATCTTTATCATTTTTCTTCTAAAATCTCTTGGAATATCCGTGTTTTGTCCTGAATGATTTAAAACAAATACAAGTATATGCATCCCGAAATGAAGTAAGGCAATGCCGACAATATCGGAGAACGAGAAACCAAATCAGAACGGTAGCTGGAAATATGTTTTTGGGATAATTTTAGCAGCAATAAAATATTATTATATGCAGTTAGTACAGAGTTCATAAAGAAATTATTAAAATTTGTTCTATTATTACATTGCAATTTCAAAGTGTTTTATGTGATAATCATTTTAAGTTTAGGGTCATATAGATATCAGATGAAAACTTAAGTGCAATTTTGATAGATTTATTTCAGATGGTTACTTTCAAAGATAATATAAAACAGTGAGTGGTATATTTTTTACGTCGGAATGCCTACATAAAAATTTACTAAAACTTAACATTTGATAACGACCCCCAAACCACAATTTCTTCACGATAAAACTTCCCCTCAAACTTACATATATGCGGTTCAGTGGGTCTTCTTTGCCAAACAATTGATAACACTGTCATAAAGTAACGTATTTCGACTCTCAATGAAAACATCCGTGAATGGCAAATAAACGAAAGAGACACAAAAACTGCAAGAGAGGGGTTTACTAAAGATTTATCAACAGCAACAACAATAAAGGAGTTACAAAAAAATTATTATGTGATATACATAACCCGTTTAAGCTTCACAGAGGAAAAAACAAATCCTAAATGTGGACACAAGTAAATACCACCGGCCTTTGCTTTATTTTATTGCAGCATTCCATCCAACTTTATGTAGAAAGACAAAAAAGAAAAATAATGGCAGTGCAGTCACTGCTCTGCCACTTTAAACGCGGGTTTCATGAAGTAGATAGAAGAAGAAGCAAAACAAAAAAAAAACAGAAACTCCAAATATTCTCCTCTTTGGTTTTGGCCTTTAAAAAGGGAGCTCTTGTGTTCACTTATTCTCATTGTTTTTGTTTCTCACGCCCGCCTTTTTTGCTTTTTTGGGGGGAAATTACGACGGCTACGGCGACTTCACTTGCTGGCTGGCAGAGAAGCAACTGAGTGAGAGCACAAAAGTTCGATGAATGTAGGTAATGTTGTTAGTGTTGCTGCATTTGGCGGTTGATCATCTGGTTTTTGGCGCAATTGTATTCTAAAGGGAGGTGATGGACGTTGACGACGGCGACAATGTAGATGGCCATACCATATGATTTATCCCATCGCCGATCACTGTCTTTAATTAATTTTCCGTACTTGGAATCCTTGCTTATTTCCTAATGGCTATTTACATACAAGAACTTGACACCAACATGTTGCCTCCAGGGGAAATATAGTTCTCTCATCTAACACAATATGTTCCTCAAAATCTTTGCTGTCGCTGCAGACGCAACCTACCAAAATACCTAGAGTTGCTCTGTCTTTCTTTTGCTGCGCTATTGACAGTTGGATTTTCTTTTTTGCTTTTACTTGTGATTTTGGCGCTTTTTTGGAGGGTTTGTCGGAATTTAGCGCCACTTTTGTTGTATCGATTACTTACGTGTGAATATTGACTCATTTCTCTAATGCATTTGAATAGCGCATATTCGTGTTTGATTGTGATCATCATGGAATATGGATGACCAAAGAGCATTTTTAACGCACGCACACATATTTTTTTATTTGTATTCTGTTTTTGATACGTAGGCCATGAATTAATTTGAAAATCGCAAGGAAAAACACAAGGAAGGAACATAAGTACATAAACACTTTTGGGCTATAAATAGTTTAATGTCAACCTCTATTCTATTTACCAATCATTTTACAAAACTGGAAACGTATTTTTGTTGTGGAAAAGTAAACATTTGCTTTGTGGGATGAATAAGAAAATTAAGAAAAAATAAATTGCAACCTCTATCATAAACGCTGACCAAATGATGTCTTCCAAAATACCTAAAATTTTAAAGCAGCATAATGCAAAAAGCAGGTGAAGATTTAGAAAATCTAGTTTTTCGAATTATTAAAATTGTACTCAAAATTTCTCTTTTGAAGTTATATAACATATTGAAATCCCAGTTTTCAGTTCCCTCATGTCTGAAAAGTGCGACCGACTGCCTGAATGGACGCAGTGGTCCGTGTTTCAATTTCTTTAAAGAAGGTTATCATCGACAATTGATAATCTAGTATACATTTTATTCACTTTTTGTGAGAGATGTGGTTACATGTTAGCACGCTATCCGATTTCTATATGTATCTAGCTTTTCTGGATGGATCTACTTTAAGAAAGTTTATAAGCATCTTGTAAAGTTATTTTAAATCGATTTGAACAGTGTAATTAGATCTAATACACCTATTTTTAATTGGAAGCCTTTGTCTGGCTGGGGAAAATTGGCAACCAACGGATGAATTGAGTCTCCGAATTCTTTTCGGCTTTAACATTTTAAGTTTAAATATTATTCTATTGAATGACAGAACAGAAGGACTATTTTGGCTTAATAGCTTTTTTATACCCTCCACCATATACATTTTAGTAGACTTTTGGTATTGAAAATGGGCCATGTAGGTCCACGTTTTGGTATAGCCCACATATAAAGGTACCTCCCGATATTCGGAATTTTGATGATTTTAGCGACAATATTCATTGTTTCAAATTTGGTATTTGAAGTTCGAAACGGATACTACAGCCTAAGGCAGAAAATTGTCTGTGCAGGTCCTCGTCTTCGTATAGCGCCCATATAACGGTACCTCCGAATATTCGGTATTTTAATGATTTTATCTACATTATTCACCGGAATTGTTTCAATTTTGGTATTTGATGTTCGTAATGGATGCTAAAGTCTATGACAGGTATAGCCCGTATAGCCCTCTATATAAAAATATCTCCCGATATTCGGTATTTTCATGATTTTAGCCACATTACTCACCGAAATTGTTTCAAATTTTGGATTTGAAGTTCGTAATGGATACTACAGCCTTAGACACATAATTGTGCAGGTCCATGTCTTCGTATAGCCCCAATATAACGGTGCCTCCAGATACTCTGTATTTTGATGACATTATTCACTGTTTTTTTTTAAGTTTCGCATTTGAATATTGTAATGGCTTATGACAAAAATTACCTGTTCAGGTCAATGTCGTCGTATAGACCCTAATATAACAGCTACATTCGGTATTTTTAAGATTTTAATAGAATTTTTAACGGATTTTATTGTTTTTGAGAATTGCCAAATTCGTTCCAAATGGTGGAGGGTATTGAGGGCCTATTAGGTCGACTCAACATATTAACTTGATAATCGATTATAACCGATTTTATTAGACAATAAAAATTTTATAATTTTTTTTTGTTTTTGCTACAATAACAAAGGGAATGTTAATTACAGAATAGGCATACTGTCTTCAAGTGGACACAAATTTGCTAGATACAAGCCAAAATGTTTGACCTATTGTGACCAATAGGGTAAGTGTCCCAGTATCAGGGACAGGGAATTTGCGAATGCTATTACTATTTCATTCAATTCAAGTTACTTTAAATTCTATATTCTTCAGATAAAGAAACAAGGTTTTCATTAGTTTTTGTTACATTGGGAACATTTTTATATTAAGTAAAATAATAATGAAATAAACTTTCAACAGTTTTGTAAAGAAAATATATTGTGTTTAAAAACGTGTTAATTTTTATTCGGCATTGATATTGTACATGTCTATACAACATTGAAAAATTCAAAAATAAACACTTCGACCTTAATGTCGCTGCTATCCTAAGTCAGCAAGTTCGCGGCTGCATCAGAAAATAAGTATAAATATTCCAGTCTAAATAGCATCGACATTTTGTTAAATCTTGCTGAAAATCGTTAATTTGAACATAGTTACATATCCTTTAAATTTGTCGCCTTTTACTATTGGTTTTCTTAAGAATATACATTGCCTTCCTCGTGCTGTTGAAGATCCACCATGACAAAACGTAAATTTCAATAGAATACGTCGTCTTTTCTCGACGACATTTTGCGCATCTTTGAAGCTAATATAAGTTTATTTTCAAATTTGCTTATAAAAATTCTAATATATGGGATTTTTTTATTAATTGTAATACATTTTTCTGTTAGATTTAATAACTATATATATATATATATATATATATATATATATATATATATATATATATATATATATATATATATATATATATATATATATATATATATATATATATATATATATATATATATTTTGCGACATTTTATATATATATATATATATATATATTTTGCGACATTTTATATATATATATATATATATATATATATATATATATATATATATATATATATATATATATATATATATATATATATATATATATATTGCAGTGGTAGATTTTGCTTTTATATATTGCTTTATATATTTACTGTAAATATGTAAATGTACATGATATGGTTTGGAATACACATGTGTTACATTCTGTTAAAGGAAACACGCTGAGAAACAGTAGATTCTAAAAGGAAAATGTGAAAAAAATCTTCAACATTTCTTCCTGGGACAAGATTACATTGATATATTTAGAAAAAAGGATAAATACTTGTGCTAAGGTTCAACTTGGTGCTGTGTTATTTCAATGAAACGCCGGCTACTTCAAGACTTACAATTTGTTCAAATACACACACATACACGAATGGTGTATCAATGAAATTCCAAGAACTGGTCAAGGATATAACTACTTCAGTTCTTCTTTTCCAAGAACAGCAGCAACAAATAACGATACAACTCGGCTTGGTTGTTTGATTAGTATAAACTAACAAAGACAAACAATTGTAAGGAGAAACCGCGTGGGTAAAAATTCAAGACAACCCGAATGCAAAAAATACAAATAGAAAATCTGGAGTGTTTACATAACCTAATATGTGTTTTGGTCGTTTTTCATAACAGCTACCTATTAGGAACAGCATTTTTCAGCATAAATTTGGAGAAAAATATTGTCTTTGCGGTAAAGTTTTATCGTTATGGAAATAAATCCAAGAATTTGTTCTAGGGATATTTCAGAGTTTAATGTTAATGGGAATTAAACTGTTTACGAACATGCTCTATTTAAATCCTAACGTTACAAAAAGAATTTTAATATTTACGTAAAGCAGGTTGGATGTTATGGTTAACTGCTCAAAATATAACTTTTGGATATTTTGTTCGACCAAAGTTTAACAATTGCTTTAATGCAATTTGTTTTTAACTTAATTTAAAAACGTGTAGATACAGTAATACATTTCAGATGACGTATTCTAAGTCCTTCAAATACATTGTTTCTGTCCTAAGAAGCAGGATCTGTAATTATAACAAGAGAAAATAGAGAGACTTAATTGTTTATATAATTAAGTATTTGATATGGAACATTAACAATTCTTCGTAGCAAATGAGAAAGTTGTAAATTAAAGGACGCCATTTTAACTGTATTCTACGAAATTTTTGTGAAATATTCATTATTATGGGATATTTTCATTAGCATATGATTTGATTTATTATTTATTTTAATGTGCCTATGTTTATGCTCCAAAGTTTCGCATGACTAGCTCTTTCCCAGCAAACACTGACACAAGTGTTCGCCACAACTTATGATATTCCTGTTATAAAAAATCAAATGGATTCGCACGTTTGATTGTGTTAAGCTCCTCAAAAAATTTTGTTAAATAAAAACCAGTTTTTCTTGGCTTTAGACTATTTGACGCAATACCTATATATAGTACCAAAGGAATAAACTGTGTTGTACAAAAATGCATTCACAACTGACGTAAGATTGCTATTCTTCAAGATTTTGTTGTTGGCGTTTAGTTATTTGTGGAATGTAGTCTTGTAAGGACAATGAATGAATGCTTGTTTCGGGTTTTGCATATAGTATTGTGTGTATCTGTGTATAGGTATATTGTTTTTTGCTACCATCCTTGTCTGGCATATTTTCCGCTTAGTTGTATCTCTTTTTAAGTCGTTTCTCTCAATTGTCTTGTGGGAAAATTTTAAGGAGAGCAACGAAGACAAGAGAAAGATTGAAAATACTGGTCCCTTGGGGGTTTGTTGTTTGTGTTTGTTGTTGGAGATCTTTTTTTTGTTTCTTTTTGGTGTTATTTTATCTGCTTGCTTTTATAATTGATTTTCTTTGCGAACTAATTGAATTCTTAAAAGAAGAAGGAATACAAATTATTAAACTAAGAAAAGGATGTTGGGGTATTTTCGTTCCAAAAAATGAAAAAGTATTAATTTCACTTTACATTGTATTTCGTTATTTTAGGTACCAATGTTTGTGGTGTTTGTGTAAACACATCTTTCTAATTATCTGAACTAGTTTGTTGTCAATTGATCATTTTTCAAAAGAAAGTCACACCCTTTAATTTCGCAGAATGTTTTGCATTGTTTGGAATTTTAATGTCTATTAACGATCAATGCCTAAAATTATTTTAAGAATAAGCATCTAAATCTAAGGAATTTAATTGTTTGACATTTCATCATCAAAGTTATTGCAAATGAAAAAATCATAGATTAAACGGCGCCTTTCAATTTGTTTGGAGACAGCAATTTCAAATATAGTAAAGATATGGTAATTCGAATTAAAATGAATGAAGGCGAATTGTGCAGTATAAGTCCAAAACGTTCACCTATGAGATTTTTCTATTTTATACCCGTTTTATTTATATTTTAAAATGAGGTTAAGTAGAATTATTAATTCTTATTTTCTTTTATTTTTTTATAATGAAAATAGGTACAAACCTGAACATTCCCTCTAATTTTTAACTCCCCTATCTATTCCAATAGACGCATAATTACATTACAAAACACTGGACAGTACATATATAAAAAACGGAACAGGAAATTATTGCGTTAAACCCCAAAGGTGTTAAAAAATAAAATGACATTAACCCACACTATTAATAATAGTCAAACCAAATGTCACTGGTATGACATACGTCAACTGCACTGGATAAACAGAAAACATATTGATGTAATTAAACAACTATTTGTATCGAATGACATTTGGGTAGAAAAAAATGTATATACTACACATATTGTTGAGATCTTCTAAGACATAACACAAGTCATTGATTATTAAGGAGGAATCAATTTAAAAGATAACAGCTGCTACCGCGTGGTCTATTCACCTGTCTGCAGTAATAGACAATATGCAGCATGCCAGCATTTATACGTTAACATCGTTGTAAAAGTGGCTAAAAAAGGCAACACATGCATGTTCGTCTATGAGCCATGTAGTCCTGTGGTTGTGCATAACAGGTGGATTATCGTCATTAGAAATATGTTTTCATTTCCTTATGGTCTTGATGTATGCAGGCTATTGCATCCAAAGGTGGTTAGAAAACAACAAGTGTGTTTATGTTTTTTTTTTGTAATTTTACTAATTAGTGAAAAGACGGAAATAGTTGTAACGTTTTTTTGACATCAAAGAATTAAGGGATAAACAAAATGCTGAATCCCGCATAAAAAAACATTGTGAAAAAAGTTAGAAAAACATGTTTACATGTCAATGTTTGACATTTGTAGCAATAAAAATAGAACAGTCTGTGCAACATGTGTTACACTTTTTTTGTTGCATTTGAATTTTGAATTTTTCATCTAAACATGCTATTTCACTTCAAAACGGTTTTAAATTTTAATTGTTTAACATGATGTTTTTTTTTTTCTTTTCTTACAGCAACATAATTCAAAGTCAACAATTAAAATTGATTTCGCAAGCAGAAGATAATTCAAAAATACTAAACATTTCTACAACGGCTATTTAAGGCCGTTTCATTATGGATTTCTATAAAAGGTAGGTTACAATACTTACTTATTCAATAATAGTAATTTATATTTTTCCAGTATTTTCAGATTTTTTTCTTCAAAAAATGAATTTGGCAAAAATCTTTTTAAATTTGAACCATTTCAAATGTAAATTTTCGTTGCAATATAGCCTAAGTATAAATTCCCCTTCTGTCCCAATTCAAGAATCATCCTAGGTCCATTTTAAAAGATCGTACAGGAGGTGAATTCTGGTCTGAGTCCTAAATATATTTCCTAGCCAATAGTCAGCTATGTATATGACCTAATTAAAATGCATCTCTGATAGTTCTATATTATTTACTAGATATGAGTTCAAACAATAATTTCATGCTGCTTATGCGTCTCGGGCTTAAGGCCCGAATTCACTTCCTACTTGATCTCAAATTAATATGTCTTAGAATTAGCAGAATATGTGTCATATAAAAAAAAATAAATGTTTTGCCAAAAAACATTTTCCTTCAACTGTACTTTTGCCTCAATAAATAGAAAAAAGTCTTGATAGGACAATTTTCTTTGTTTGGAAAACTGTCAATTCCACTTAACTGTTTTCGATATTATTTTGAGACCTAAAAAAAGTGAATAGGAAAAGTCTGCTTTTTCAATGCAGTCTAAGGATTGTCTTGTATTGCAAATCAAATAGCATTGGAATTACAAACCCCACTATATTTTCTCTTTCACTTCTTCATTATGGTTGTTTTTTGTCCATTTTCTTTAAGCGCCTTACAGGATGTTCCTTTTTGTCATTAACACAAAGCATTATCATGATTATCTATTTTGGGGGTTTCTTATAATTACCTATGACTTTATGCTTGGCTAAATTTCTCTGCTACTAGTCAACAGATAATCTATATTATTTCCTTCTTTACTTAAAAACGTTTGCACCCCAAATGTGGTTGACAAAATTGACGGCGGGTAACATCCTGCTCAAAGTTGTCCCTTTAGGTGTTTAGGAGTGCAAGTAAGTACACATAACTAGTTTTCCAAAGGAAATGTTGTTGGTTCTCACAACATATGTTGGTTGGTATACCTTCAACCAAAATGTTTTTTTGCAAGCAAAAATAACGATTTTTTCCTCCACATATCCAGTTTTTAAATTTTATAAAATTTTGTGTGTTGTGGAAAAATTACTTCAAAGCAACAACATTCCTTTATGGTTTACAGGACAAACCATAGTTAATTACTGTATAGAGTTGGTGAATGAATGTACATGAAAAATGACAAATTCCAATAGATTGTGTGATTGTAATCATTGGTGTGTGTGTAACCTAACATACCTTTACACCAAAAAAACATTTTTTCACATGGTTTTTTTTACATGATGAAATTAATACAATTGCTACAGAAATTACTGGTTATGCCCAATTCCCATTTATTCACCCCCTACTTTTGCAATTCATTATATTTTCAAGTTTAAAGTGTCAGTCATTTGTCCTTCCCACTTGTGGGTTGTGTTGTCCTTTTGATTATTTCGTCAGCAAAAGGATGAACTGCTGTCACATATGACAGCTAACTACTTTGGTTAGTTTGGGCATGCGCTATGACAATCCTGTTGAAAAGGAATACCACCAGTCACATGCATACCCAATTTTAAACAACTGCGTCGATTAACAATTTGTTTGTTCCTTTTTGCCAATGTCACCAAAATATAACGTTGATATTGCATTTATGCATTATCATTGTAATTATGGTTATCAAACTAATTGAAGTTAATATCAAAGGTAAACACCCCCCTTTCACTAGTATGTGTTAGCTGACTTATGGTCTTTGCTGGAAAACCACAAATAGTTATTAAGTTGAGCTAGCTTACTGTAGTAAAAAAACGTTATTATTCTTCAATTTATCCAAATGACATATTCAGAATTTAAATAATTCATTGCACTTTTGTTCATCTTTTTTGACATGTAATGTTCTCATAACATATTTTGTAGGATTGAATGGCTAGCCAATTGTCGATGCTTAGATGACATTACATCTTAGAGATTCCTTTATTGCTCCTGTTCTATGGGAATAAGTTTTAAGAAAATGAATCAAGTAAATTTTGAACCCTTAAACCTGGCATGTTTTTTTTATTTTCCTGCTATTGTCAAGATGGTTTTTATTTAAAAATAAAAGTAATTCTGGGAATAAATACAAAGTTTAAAATGTAATATGCTCTACGCTCCTTAGATGCGTCCGCTCTCGGTCAATGCTCAACGACGACTGACTCATAAACTCATTTTGATAGTTGACAATTCGGCCTCTCCTGACTCTTCGTCCCTCCTGGGCGAAACATCATCAGACTCATCTTTATCTTCGATTTCGAGACTTGGATCACCATAGCACCAGGGCTTCATATGATCGGTCGACATAACACCGCAATATTTCCTTTGCTTCAAACTTAAATCCGGCAGATCCTCTACCAGATAACGATCGTTTCCGATAATTTTCGTGACGATGTATGGTCCTTTATACCGCGCATCCAACTTATGCGATTCTCCTGTAGGCTGCGGTACCGTGTCTATCACCACCAAATCGCCTTCCTTGTACTGAGTTGGCTTGGAATGACGGCTGTCAAATCTTGCTTTCCATTTTTCCTTTTGTTTCTGGATGTTAGCAACAGCCTGCTGTTGAATTACCCTAACATCGAAATTCTCTCTTTCTTCATCACCAACCGCCTGGATAATTCTATTGTAACTGACATCTCTGAGACTAAAGTTGAATATTAAGTCATTTGGACTGAACTTTGTAGTCGCATTCAGCTGCGAGTTAATACTCCACTGTATCGTCGTTGTCTCAGTGTCCCATTCTTTTGTATCACCTACTAGACATTTCAACGCATTCAAAACTGTCTGGTTGATCCGCTCGGCTTGGCCATTGGCTCTTGGTGTTCGGACTGCTGTTTGTACATGTTGTATTCCGTTGTATTCCACAAACTGTTGGAATTCTTTAGACGTGAACGCCGTTCCCTTATCCGATACAATTCTTCGTGGCTGTCCGAAAATCGACATAACTTCTCGCAGCGCTGTTATAACCGGAGCAGTCTTTGTATTCCTGGTTGGCTTTATAATGGTGTACTTACTGAACGAACAGACAATCAAGAATACATATTGATTTCCTTTCTTACTTTTTGGGAAGGGACCCATGTGGTCGATGTTGATACTTCTGAATGGAATTGGTAGGACTTCCTCAATATGTAGTTCACCCTCTGCCTTGCCTCCTTTTACCTTGTTGTAGCAGCATTCCGGACATGACTGAATGTATGATTTTACATAACGTCTCATTCTCGGGAACCAGAAATCACGTTGAAGCCTTTGGAGAGTTTTCTCTTCACCGAAGTGTCCCAAATCATCATGACAAGCCTTAGTTATTCGCCACCGGACTCTTTCTGGAATCACCATACGTTTCATATTGTTGACTTTGCGAAATAGCCTCCCATTTTCTATTACATAGTCCGCTTTGATCTGCTTAATTTCATTTGCCTCGTTTTGCAAATTACCATTGAGAACTTCAAAGATGTGTTTCAGCTTCTTATCCGACATTTGCAGTTGATAGACCCAGTCGTTAATGTTCGTTGTGAGTGCCAGAACATTTTCCGCTACTGTTCGGGATTGACTTGATGGTAACGTTGGACTTCTGCTCATCCCATCCACGTGAGTCATCTTGGCACCTGAGCGATGAGTAATGGTAAAATCAAACTCCTGCAATTTAAACCACCATCTAGCTATACGAGGGGGTAATGGAGACGTCGCCTTTGTTGTTGCTATGGAATTGCAATCTGTGACAATATTGAAGCACTTTCCGAGTAGGTAAATTCTAAACCTTTCAAGCGTCTCAACAATTGCTAATACCTCGAGTTCATGACTGGCATATTTTCCTTCACTTTCAGTACACCTACGACTGTAGTAGAAAACTGGACGCAGTTCCTCACCTTCATACTGCAACAATACTCCAGACAAACCAATAGAAGAAGCATCCGTGTGTACTTCGTGTTCCTTATTTGGATCAAACAGAGCCAAAACAGGTTGTGTTGTAATTCTGGTCTTCAGGGTAATAAAAGAATTCTCCTCAGGTTCTTTCCAGATAAATACAGCATCCTTTTTCATTAGTCTCGTAAGTGGCATGGCTATTTGGCTATATTTTGGCACGAACTTGCGGAAGAAGTTAGTGATGCCAATAAACTTGCGCACATCTGATACGCTTTCGGGTCTTGGGAATTCTTCAATGCATTTTGTCTTCTCTTCTCCAGGGCGTATACCATTAGCACTCACTGTATGACCTAGGAAACTTACACTTTCCTGAAGGAACGAACATTTAGTTGGCCTTAGCGTCAACCCCTCTTCTCTTATGGCGGTTAGGAACTCTTCTAGTACTTGGAGTCCTTCACTAATCGTCAAGCTCGGGATTATCACCTCATCCACATAACTTATGATGTTTCTCCGATGTTTCAACTTACGTATTATTTGGGTTATCATTTCCTGGAAGACCATCGGTGCATTTGTTAATCCGAAAGGCATTACATTATATTCATATAGACCGTCTGGTGTTATAAACGCCGTGAATTTCTTGGATTCTTCCTTGACGTGTATCTGGTAATATCCTGATGTCATGTCTAACGTTGTAAAATACTTATTTCCAGATAACAACGAAAGTTGTTCTTCAACCACTGGCATCGAGTACTGCTTTTTGATGGTGACTTCATTTAATGCTCGATAATCCGTACACATACGACTTTCACCGCTCGCCTTTTTGACCAACAATACTGATGCTGCATAGGGCGAATCACTTGGGCGAATAATACAACATCGAAGCAACTTGTCAATTATGTCTGACAGAATTTGTCTTTGAGAAAATGGAACTTGGTATCTTTTACCAACTACAGGCTTGTCCGTAGATAAACTTATTTCCATTTGTGTATTTTTACACCTTCCAAGGTCTTCAAGGGTTTCAGCAAAACAGTCCTTGAACGACGACAGTATTTGGTCTAATTTTTCCTTTTGATGCTCATCCAGACTTTCTCCGACATTAAATGTACTTGGCATTGTTGACCTCACCTTCAAGACACCATGCTCAATTGTAAGTTTTGTTTGCTTCTTACACAATACATCTCTTCCTAAGAGAACGTCATATCGCATCAAGTCATTCGGCACTACATAAATGGTAGTCATTAAACTCTCCTCGTCGATGACAACGTTAGCCTCAAACATTTCCACCACTTCAACAATAGATCCACCAAAACCTTTCATTCTTTTTGACGTTACTTCCATATCGCAACCCTCTGGAACTACAGCTTTCCGCATTAAGGTAAAGTCGCTTCCAGTGTCCACAAAACCTTCATATGTCTTACCATTGACCGTGACATCTTTCATAACCGGTGGGCAGTAATCCTTAGACTCTTCTGTCATTGCTGCCACAGTTGTACCTTTACCTTTGCATTGCGATGCATCGTGACCAATCTTTGCACATTTACTACACTTCGGCTTCTTCAATGGTTGTGGGCAACTAGTTGAGATATGCCCAAACCTGTTACAATTGAAACATTTTACTCCCTTGGTTGGCGCTCCACCTGAGACACTTACGGTTTTGTCATCCTCGTCATTCTTTGTTTGCTTCCTTGCATACGTTTGTATGGTCAAATTCTCCAACGACCTTAATAATTCACTACATGTCTGCGGGTTCATAGCTAAAAGTGTTCTTGTTAAGCTGCTATCATTGAGACCATTTATGATGTACGACAGTATTGATGCCTCATCTACGCTTCCTCTTTTCCCTATGGCCAACATTGCGTAATAATATTCCACCAAAGACTCATTCGAGTTTCGTTTCCTAGCTATAAGTTCACGATGAATGTCAGCAACACTTACTCGACTTGGGAAATCCTTTAAAAATTGTTGTCTGAACTCTTTCCATGTTTCAACCACTGGTAAAGCGTCTATCCACATTTTAGCAACACCACTCATTTTATGATGAACTGCAAACAAAGTTGTTTCATCTGACCATCCATGAAGCCTTTGCAACGTTTCAACCTTGTCAATGAATTGGACTGATGTAACATTTCCTTTAATTGGATCGAAGTCTGGTATCATTACTATGTAATCCTTTAAACAACCAGATGTTCCGGAACCAGATTGTCTTGATATTACTTCAGCTGGAACTTGCTGTTCTGTATCCCTTGAATTTAACCCTGCATTTGACGTAATAGCCCTTTCTGTTGAAAGTGTTGTTAACTGTTGCACACTTCTTGCTAGAGTCAACATTATATCCTTTAGCTCTCGCATTTGACTTGTTAGAGAATCATCACCCGTCTCAGCTTCATCAAATCCATGGAAATCCTCCTGTGACTCTGAATCTTCAACTTCCACTTCGTCATTTCCATTGCAAGCCATGAGTCTAGCAATTTTCTCGGACTTATTTCCTGTTCGTGGTAAGCTTCTTGCCAGTAATAATTTGTCTAGCTCCGCAACCTTTAACGAACTTATTTTCACCTTCATACTTTTCCTTGTGAATTTTCCTTTTTAATTCGTTACTTCAGCAAATCTAGAACTCCTCCTTTTTTTAGAAGCCGCACGCCCTAAAAATATACGTTAACTTTTCCCTTTTTAAACTTCTTCTTCGGGGTTCCCCTCTTTATGTCTTGCTTTCAATCTCCTTGATGTACTATCGTTGTCCTACTCACTCACACTTTTGAGTATACCTTTGTACATTCTCCTTTGATTGATGCTTTCTCCTTTGCTCTCTTTGAGCACGTTACACACTCTCACTAAACTCACTCGAACTTTTGAGTTTAGGTGCCTTTGCGTGGTTTCTCCTTTGGTCGTCGTTGTTGCTTTGCATTGATCTCTTCACTACTACATCACTTTGACGCCTTAGTTTCTCAGCTCTTTGAGTATTTTTCTGCAATTCTTATCCAAAATGATGAAATTCCTTGTAGATTTCTGTTCTTATCCCACTTCTGATTCTGTCAAGATGGTTTTTATTTAAAAATAAAAGTAATTCTGGGAATAAATACAAAGTTTAAAATGTAATATGCTCTACGCTCCTTAGATGCGTCCGCTCTCGGTCAATGCTCAACGACGACTGACTCATAAACTCATTTTGATAGTTGACACTATTTAGTTAACATCTTTTTGAAGGGCCTTTTTTAAATTTGTTTATGATTTAGAAAAATTTCGTAGATGTTTTGAATAACTCCTGGAATGTATATTTTAATAAACCAAAGAAAACGAAGGAAGTTTTATGGCGTCTTTCAAAGGTATACTCTTTCCCGATATCCATCTTGGAAAATAATTATATTTTTCATTTATTAATGTTAAAACCTTGTTTTTTTTTTTTAAATCACAATACTGAAAATTATAGTATACAGAATAATAATCGTCAACCCAGCTCGAAATATTTCGTTCAAAAAAAGTCGGTTTTTCAAAAAAAAAAACATATCGAATACTTTCAGGCCTTATTAATGCAATTTGGATTCTGTAGATATTTGTTCAAAATTATTAGAGACTAAATTTTTAAGAACCTTCCACCTTCCTTGTCTAAATGCAACTTGGCCGAAAACACACAGTAAATCACCATAAAGTTCGGTATTGCTCTTTGTAACGCATATATATTTAAGATCCCCACATTTTTTCTTGGAAATGATTAAAAGAAACAGAAATACCAATTACTCATTTACATTTTGTAAGAAATTCCTTGATTTTTTACACCTGCCTATTGTTGTTTTTGGTCAAGGACTTCTATTGCCACAATGTACAATTGATTGCGGGAGCGTCTATTTTTTAAAAATTGGTATTAAAAAAGAAATGAAAAGAAAATGAATCGAACGCCCCACAAACTGCAAGAAGATAAAAATAAAAGAAATTTACCGCTACCAAACAAGCACATACACACAGTAGTAGTTATGTTGCAGTGTGAATGGGACGTTTTAAAGGACTAAATCATCCTTTAAGCTATTGATTTCATATTAACTTTGTGTAATATTTAAGAAATATCTATGGATTGCAGTTCCGAGAATTGGTGTTTTCTCTGGTTTCCACAAAAGATGTGGGAAATGGTGAAAATACTTTCTATTTTGTTGTTTTTTTGCTGGGAACCAAATTATTGCCTTTTTAAAAAAAGGGCGCCTAGACATTAAACTACCCATGGTTGTTGTTACAAAATCTTTATATGTGGCCTTTATTGTGAATGCCGAGAACAAAAACGTCCAAGAGGTCGTTCTTCTTATTACATATGTTGTTGTTGCTGTGTGTTTTTTTCCGTTTTTGTTGGGAAAAATACAAAGAATTTGTATATTTCCCTTGAAGATTCCCGCTTTAGTTTGTCATACTTTAACACAAAAATTACTATTTTTGGTTAGCACATAATCTTTAGTTTTTCCACCAAAAATATCCAGTTTTTTAGTTTTTCTCACATAAAAATTGTATTTAGCAAATAAGGGTTGCAATTAAAAAAAACGAAAAAACTCTGTGCAGTCAATAACCCTTTCAACATTTTTTCTTTAATATGGGATTATGTGATTTGTTCAATTATTACTCCCTTTTGCCTAAATATCCCAAATAAAGGTTTCTTGATTTATAAGGTGTTTTAATACACCCCTTTAAGGAATTGCTTTGTAAAGGGCATTGGGTTTTATATTGCAGCCGGCCTTCTTTCAACGGCTTTTTAATATTGCAAAATACATTTTGTATGAGTAGAAATACTTCTCTTTTCTTTTTTACTTGCTGCTAAGGGATGTTGGGATTTTATTTTCCCTCACCCCCTTCGTTACAGCATTTAATTATAGATATTCAAAATAAAGGATTTATGCACAATTTCAAGTATTGTTTGTATAAATAAAGAAATGGCAATTTCTTCAACCCCTTCCCTTCCCATATCTTTGCAAATTTGCAGAAATCTAGATCCATCCGAAAAAGAAATCAAAGAATTTCGTCACAGTATTTAATTATAGCTATTCCGAATAAAGGATTTATGCACAATTTCAAGTATTGTGGATGTAAATGAAGAAATTTAAATTTCACTGCAAATTATAAGAGATAGAATTACTTAATTGTAAAACCCCTAAATTGGAAAGGAAACAAAATTGATTTTCACATGCTTCTTACATCCGGAATATGGAAATAATTGCGGATATCTGCATGCACGCCTCCTACGGGCTACTATCACTCCTAGGGAGTGAAAAGTAAATGTACATTTGGAGAGTTTCATAAATGTAGCTGTGTTTTCTCAAGAACACACCGAAGACCCCCATATGTACGTGCAAGTAGTAATGTATCAATTTTCCTCCAGCAGTTATTGTTTTCGATATTTGAAACACAAAATGCATATTTTATTGAGTTGAATCTGACTATTGTATTTTTTTTCTCTTTTCAGTCGCAGTAGCAACAGTACCAGCAGTCAACACAGCAATAGCAGCAGCCACAAATCTCATGCCTCATCAAGCAATAACGGTGCCTCCTACAATTTAGAATACTGCACATCTTCATCGTCGCTGTCACCTTTTGCCACAAATACATCATCTATTGGTGGCCGATCCTGTCCATCATCGTCAGCCAAAACAATTGTTAATGTGGGCATAGAGGATGTGATCCTTTCGATCACCAACAGCAATAGCAAGAGTAATAGCTCAACATCACATATCTCAGCCTCATCGTCTTGCTCGCCAAGAAGTTTGATAACGGTCACAAAACTAGCTTCATCCTCAAGTAATATGTGTTCTAGTCATAATACAGCAAAACGCAAACGGCGTTCATCCACAAGTCTAGATGATCGGGTAAGTGAAAAATGCTTCGAAAAGGAGTGTGTGTGTGTGAATTTCTCTTCGATTTTTCAATCCCTTCCAAAAAGACAAAGATTAAAGTGTCCCACAATGAATCATCCACCAAAGGAAGCTGTAAGAAAACCGTTACAATTTGGACTGCTTTCCAAATTAAAAAAGAAAAAAAAACTTGAATATACATTAAAGTTTTCTTCCCTAGAAGAGGGAAGGATGTGCTGTCATCTGTCTAATGATTATGCAAAAAAGAAAAGTTTTCATTAGCATAAATTCATAATGGAACGGCAGTGTGCACATAAGCAAGCATATCCCACTACGGCAGCAAAACATATGCCCTTCCAGGACATAAAAGCGTTACATTTCATAACGTCTTCAGACCCTTTACGCTTCCTTAGTCCTTGAAACAAAAACAACAACTATTGGAATGGAAGAAGAAACATGCAATTTAAAAAAAGAAAACACAGAAATTGAACAAATGTCGTTACGATGAATATATAATTAGATAATGCTTAACAAACTTGAAAGGCAGAAGAACCCAACTATTACTGCTACCATGATCATAATGATGATATACTTGGGTTTTTTCTCTGTTCCAATAAGGGACATTTGTTTTTGTTCTCTTTTTTGTTAAGGAAACTATTGCCACCACTTTGTAGTGTTCTATTGTGGATAGCGGTCTTACCAACTTCCTTATGGTATTCATTTAACTTAAACCGAGATCATAACACGCAAGATAACACCATATTATTAAAATAATCGTCTTCCTATTGCTGTTTCTTAACTATCATAGACAAAACGTGTCATTTCTTCTTCTTTTTATTACCACCTTCCGTCCTTTCTTTTTGGCAACCAATACCACATGCAGCATTTATTTATGACACTGTTATCATTAGTGGCACGTTCGTTAAATTTACATAAATGTTGGCGATCGTCATTCCCATTTGTCGTCCTTCTTCCTTTTTTTCTTCGGCACAACAAAGTCATAGTTTGTTCTACATAAAAATAACCTAATTGTTTTCCATTTTTTCCCCTAAAAACCCTGCCACATATCCTTGTGATAAACTTTTTATAACGTCTGTCGCGTTTCTCTTTTTGTTTTCACTTTCTTATTATTTGCCTATGGACAAAATATAACGTCTGTTGAGACAAGAAAAAATGTAAAATGTCAATACAAGAAACAAAAAAGTTAGCAACCCTCTCAGGGGTATATTGCTGTGTTTGCTTTGCATCAAGGTGTTCAGGCATGCGTAACTATTTCCTAGCATTTAGTACTTTTGTTGTTGCCTTTTCAAATATGTACTCATGTTTGGAGGTATGTCCTTCTCGGGGGAATTGCATCACATAAATACAAAACAAACCTCATGCACATGGTCTGCCTTTGGTAGTGGTTATTATGTGTAGATGTCCTGGTTTTGACTAGATTGGCTGCCTGTGGCACCCCATTGCTTAAGAAGTGTTAGTTTGCAATACTGCCTTACGACATTTTTTGTTTTTTTTTTTTTAATGTTCAGTGTCGTATTTATGCATGGTCATGTAAAACTATTCAAATTCCGGCACATTATTTCACCATAAACTTTAATACAGAAGAAATTTCAAAGGAAATCATTTTAAATAATTAATTTGATTGATTAGGTAGAGATTTTTCAATAAACTTTTTCTGATTCTATTCAATTTCATATTCATTTATTTTGTCACGAATCCAGCAAGTTTATTAAAAATAGTAAAAAAAAAAGGAAATTCTTCCATTGCAATAATCTGTTATCTAAGAAAACGGTGGGCTGTAGGAAGTTATTTCGCATTTCAGGTCCATATTTCATTCTTGGATTAACCAATCAGAAGAAGATCCCTTCACTAGAATTCAGATATATATACACAACTAATTGCAAATCTTCTTTTAGGCAAGGTGGATTCTTGTTTTTAATGATTATTTTATAACAAAATTTTTTGGGTAGGTTTAAAGAGCGAAACAATCAATTTAATTGTACATAACTTTTTCCCTCTTAAAGCAAAAGAAAATGATCTTCGCTCCATTCGTCTCCGCTTGATATCATATATATGTACCAAACATATGTGCAATTCTTAATTCTAATTCAGATTCATCCCTAGGGAGAGTTCTTTAACGTATAAAATATTTTATTTTTATTAAACCCTTTTCTTTTGATGTTCAGGGCTTATGCGGTGTAATTTTCCCTGATCATGGACAATTTATCAAAGTATTAATAATTTGACAAAGTAAAATTGTTCAAATACAAAGTTAGATCCAAGACAAACGACAACCACAAAAAGCCCTTAAGGACAATAAACGGCAGTTGCAATAAATTGAAAGAAATTTGAAAATAAACTAAAGAAGAGAAGCAGTTGTAATAAAAAGAAGCATGCGCTCATTGGTAATCATTTTATTTACACCTGGAGTTCTTCAAGAAAATATAACAAAGGAATTTACTAATGCTAGCTGCTGCTGCCGTTGTATTGTTGTGTTGTGTACTGGCATTTAAAAATTCTGACGACAATCTACAGTGCCAACCAACCAAGAGTAAGAACGTCGTACCCACCACCACCACATAGCGCTCTACTGTTGTACTGTTTTGTTGGGTAGTAATCAAAAATTGAAAGGTGTCCTGACTTGTGACGCTTATGCAACACAGCCCATGGCATACATAGTCTTACACACATACACAGTATTCTTTATACATTTACAAAATCTTGTCACATTAAGGAATTGCATTGTGCTATCTATGGGATGAAAAACAATGATCCCAAAAACAATCTTAAGAATTGTGCGATATATATTTTTGATTTGGGTTTTGGGTTCTTGTTTAAAGAGCAGGCGCTTCCCTTTAGTATTTGAAGGATATAGTAACGACATTATTGTGTGTGGCTATGCAGTAAAGGAATGTGTTATGCCCCTTACTGGTCTGGTGTTTGTTCATGGCCTGGGTATCTTTTTTTGTTTTTTGTAACTGTTATTAGTGTTTCCATTGAGTAAAATTTCGATCATCTGCTTCTTTTTCTTCGTGTTGCAGCATGGCTTTATAATCAATTTTTATTGACAAAAAATGATAAGGATAATCAAGGTATTGCCAAAGATGGTCAAACGTTCAATGGTCCTACCTCACACATTGCCGCACACTCACTTGGGAACATACTACATACATACATGTACATAAATATAATATGTACATTTAGTTCAAGATACTTAAATTAGTTCAGCTCTTTTTAATATCCCTAATTGTTACATTAAACATATGCTGTCTTGGAAAATTATTTCTTGATATGAATGCTCGCTTTGTTGTCAATTGGGTGTTAAATATAGATTTGGTATTTCATAAGTCACAGTCTAATGGTCATAAGTGTTTGAAACCTATATTTAAATTTATAAAGGATATGGCTTGCAAAAAAAAAAAACCCTTGAGCTGCATATGTAGACATACACATATGTCTAACGGCATGTGTTAGTTTTATGGATCATTGGAAAATCCAAATATATTTCTCTCATTAGGATCTTGTATATATGTATACTTTAGTCAATATCCTATGGGATTCATAGAAATTATGTTCGTGAATTGCTTTGTTAAATTGTCAGGCCAAATTGGAACTATGAACTGTTTTTTTGTACTCTATTCAGTGTATAATTATTGCTATACATATGTGTCTCCATACATCCAGTATTGGCTCATAGTTCTCATAAAATCATAAAATGCCCTACATCATTCAGTTCAATGCAGATGAAAGCATTTTATATGGTCATAAAAATAAGATCACTTTTTGATTAATGATTTTCATCAATTTTTCAAGATAACGACTAGCCTAATCAAACAAAGTTTGACCGTTGGTCAAAAAGTTCAGCTGTTCCTTTGCATAACGAAATATCTCTTCTTGAACTTTTCATTTCTCGAAACAAAAAGCCTGACAATAGTGATTTATAGTTATTTTTATTTAACTTCACCAAAAATTCAGTCCTGCTACACATTTCCTATCTGTGGCAAGGACATCTGCCGTGCATCTTTGTAATATTGTTTTTTGCTTAATTAAATAATTTACTAGAAAAATCAAATGGATACTTTATCATTTTTACGACGTTTTAATTTTAATGAACTGTGACATTTTCCAGAAAAGGCGGTAGAATTTTTGCCAAGAAAAGAAACAAAACGACAAAATCACACAAGGAATTAACCGTAAGACAGGGATCATATGGTTGTGTTTCTCCCATCTTGCCATAAATTTGTAATGATTTCTTGAATAGAATGTCTGTCATGGTCTTTCTACAATCAACATTAAATTGTATAATTTGTTGAAATCTAGATATGTCAGAAGAGAAAGGAGAGTTGAAACGAAGGGATTTTTTTATAAAAGACAGGGGGAGTGGAATAATGGGTTTGTGCTTAATAATATTTTGTGCAATTTGTTTAAGACTTAAGAAAAACAGAAAATATTTTAGGGGATTTTTTATCTTAAAAATCCAAGTTTTGTTTTCAGGGAGACTTATATGACATGGTTTAATAATGATTTTCCTAGTTGACCTTGCAGCATTCACGTCATAAAAACCTAATACAAGTCTAGGTAAAGCGAAAACCGGCAGAGATTTATATTTATTCATCTTTGTTGTTGGCAATGTCCTTTACTCCCGGTACCTGGGCAATTGTGACACACAAAAATATTTTCTTGTTGCTGCTACCCAAAAGGATAATTGATTTTTTCTCTTATTCTTCTAAGGCTTTTAAGAACCTTTTTGTCTGTCGTCTCTCCGTTTGTCTGTCCATCCGGCTCTTCATCCTTCGGTTTTGGGTCCGTCCGTCAGTCCGTCCGTCCGTCTGTTTGTCTATCGGCCTTTGTGTGCGAGCAAATGCATATGCATGTAGTTTTTGCATTCTCTTCTTGTGTGAATTAAATGAAAACGGATCTTAAGGATTGTTGTTTCTTCCTCAATTTTCTGTTTCACGCTGTCTTTCTTCTCAGGGTTGAATTTTTCATCTTCTCCTTTTCATAAGAAAACACTAAACACACAATGCAAGATCCTTTTAATCAACCACCTATGATCATTGCCTAGCAGAGCAGTAGCCAAAGAAGTAAAGCAAAAACTACCCTCTTATATTCGTTACTTTTTGAGGACGTGTACGAGTTCGATGGTAGTTTGAGCTCAGTTCCACTGGGAAAGTGAATGCGTCAACACACGCACGCAAGCGCAATAGTACATTTGAAAAAAAAAAAAAACAAAATAGCAAAAAGATCTCAGAGGAAATTGTTGTACAACAGTGTGTTGTGAAAAATAATTTAGTGAAACCAAATAATGAAAAAATAAAAAAAATATTTTATAAGAAAATGTAAAACGTTGATATACCAAAGTTCAATATTTGTTAAACCAAAGACTTGTCTACTGTTTGAAAAGTGCAATATTAAAAGAAATTCAAACAATATACCTCTCAAATAACTAACTCTCTCACTTGTTCGCATTTACGCCCACGTGAATAGTACATTTTGAACGATAATATTGAAAGAAAACAGGAAAAACCGGAAAATCACACACTTTTAATTGTTATTGAAGGAAAAGTGTTTGCTCGTTGTTTTTTTTTTTATTCCGTGTCTGAGCTGGTATTGTTATTGTTGTAGTCATCTTCGAAACACCGTGTTCCATCACTGTATGCTATTATGAAGTGTGAGCGCAAGAGAAAAGTCATTGAAATGGTAAAGAATTGTTCCTTGTTTTATTCTCTCTAAAATTGTATCTAGTATCTCAGGAGTGTAGACTCCATTTTAAAAATAAGCCAACACTTTTGTGTGTATGCCGGTGGTACGATTGTGCAATGAATAATAAATATAAAAAGATATGGCCAAAGTCTGTATAATTAATTAATTTTCCCCTTAATTTTCTTCCTGTAGCAAAATGCTTATATTGAATGATTATTATATGGCTTATAGTTGTCTATTTAAAGAAATAAAAGACTAGACAAAAAAAAATGTTTATGCTATACAATATTATTATTGTGAATTCACTACTCTTCCACAAAAGAACAATGTTGAATCTTTTTTAATGGAAAAACTGCTGAAAAATTGAATTGAATTTTGGCAAAAAATATAAAAACTTTGAAAATTTACACACACATTCAATTCAATCGCCGTTTGGAAGAGAAAAAATAATAATACATTTTATTTTTTCAACAGGATCCTGAATTGGGTTTCGAACCTGCTGCCAAACGTCAACAAAGATTGCCATCCTTGTATCAAAGTGATGCTGGATCCGTGGTCTCGTCTGTATATCCATCGCCCGTTGATGAGACATTGGTTAATGAAATTGATACTCGCAGTTCATCGGAATGCTTATCGACGGCCACTGATTTTGAAGTTACACATGACGATATTCCCGATAGTCCCAACAGTTTACGACATGAACTAGAAGAGGAGATAGTGCACGATGACGGACATGATCATCACGACGACGACGACGACGAAGAAGACGATGATGAGGAGGACGATATTGAGGATGATGATCACATTACGGACGATGATGATGTTGATGATATTATCTCACCAAATACATCACCATCCAACTGTTCAACTGCCTCGACAAAAGCTACACAAATTTATAATCCATCGAGCACGGATGCTGTTCATCATGGTGAACGTACTCCTGGTCAAAGGTTATCTACCTCAAAATCACAATCATCATCATCTGCCTCAACACAACAGCCCAAAGTAAAATCATTCGATGATTATCTATCGGCTCACTACGATTGTATGACACCTGCGGCCGATCCGGAGCCACCACGCCAATGTCCATTGCCGGCTTTATCCTGGGCCAATGCTCAAGATGTTTGGCAGCTAATGTGTAAAAAAGATGAACAAGCCTCCTGTCTACGCAATTCGTCAATGTTAGATCATCATCCTGGCCTACAGCCACGCATGAGAGCCATTCTTCTAGATTGGTTAATTGAAGTTTGCGAAGTATACAAACTACATCGTGAGACATACTATTTAGCTGTTGACTATCTAGATCGTTATTTAAGCGCACAGAAAAATGTTCAAAAAACTCACCTGCAATTAATTGGCATCACATGTCTTTTTGTGGCGGCCAAAGTCGAAGAAATATATCCCCCAAAAATTGGTGAATTTGCCTATGTTACAGATGGCGCTTGCCAAGAATCCGATATCTTGCAACATGAAATTTTACTACTGCAAGCCTTAGAATGGAATATCAGCCCTGTTACCGCCATTGGCTGGTTGGGCGTTTACATGCAATTGAATGTCAATAACCGTACACCTGCCTCGTTCCAAACCTCTCAGAGGAAATTAAAACAACAACAGCAACAACGTATACCTCCTGCCAATTCCACACATAACAACGATGTCGCCAATAGGTTAACAAAATCTGGCGACGTTGATGACGCATTTATTTATCCACAATTTTCGGGTATGGAATTTGTACAAACTGCTCAACTATTAGATCTCTGTTCACTGGATGTTGGTGTGGGCAATTTCCCATACTCAGTGATTGCAGCCGCAGCCATTTCCCATACCTTTAATAGGTAGGTATCTCATAATCATCGCGATTCAAAGCCGTGCCTAACCGCTTACGATTGGTTTATTTACAGAGAAACTGCTGTCCGTTGTTCTGGTCTTGAATGGAAAACAATCCAGCCCTGTGCAAGATGGATGCAACCATTCTTTGAAGTCATTTCGGAAGAATCACATAATTTACATTTATTAGAACAAAATGAACAAATCTCAACTAAATTTGGTCTAGGACATATATGTCCAAATATTGTCACAGATGAATCACATATTATTCAAACACATACCACAACAATGACAATGTTTGTAAGTATTGAAATTAGTTGTAAATGTGAAATAAATGTTATTTGGTCGTCAACATTTTATTTACTATTGTTTCACTTTTTTATTTTCTTCTCTCCTCAGGATCGTGCTTGCCTGCTTCAAGAACAATACTTGGCAATGGCCAGTAAAATTAAACAAGAAGCTTCTCCCGCCACAGGTCTCATGTATCCAGATGGCTTACTAACACCGCCGGCATCTAGTCGTAAACCTTTAGATTGCATAGATGAAGATGAGCCAAATCATCATGTTCACAATGTCATAACAAATGAAAGCCGGGATATAAATAAATGAGCAAAAAGAAGATGTTACACCTGATTGACAAGGGAGGAGGTCATGGCAAAATATTCAAGACTTTGCCATTAAGATGGTATCTTAAAATCCATAAATATACACAACCCCAACAAATACACTGCCTTGTAATAGCAAATCAGCAACACCATCAACAAAAACAATATGTTAAGTAATTCTAATTTATTAATAACTTATTCATTAATTCAATATCCATACAAACAAACCACCCCGCAAAGAAACACAAAACCACACAAAAGTAATTAATTGTTTTCTAATAGTTAAGTTTAGTTTAAATTATAGCTTAGCGTTTAAGTAATATAAATGTAAAAAAGTTATTCTATAAAAACATATCGGTTAAACAAAACCACCGTATAATCCTCTAAAACACATACCTCTATTCCATATTAATACATTAATCCATAAGACTGTAGCTTTTGTAACATAATCGCCATTACACTCTCCATCCTCAGATCACACATGAACTTATTCCCCACTTTCGTTGTACGGCAATTTGTTTGTATTTGTGTGTTGCTACAACAAATACTCTGCCGAAAAATTGCGCAGCTTTGTTAACGAAAAAAGTGGAACAGTCAATTTTTATAACATATTTGTTCAGTGGTTCAATTATTTACTTTTTGTTTTAAAAACAAAAACATTTTTAATGACCATTTTTTTATTACTTTAAAGCAAATGAAGTTTATGGTTTGCCTGTGGCCACTATTTTATTTTCAACTGAATTACTAATTCAAGCCACAGTTTTTGTTTGATTCTTTTGTTGTTTTAACATCTGAAAATTTTAACTTTTCTCTTGGGCCACTGGATTGAGTATATTTCTCATAAAATAATCACCACTCCACATAACCTAACACCAGGAAAAAATAATGTCCCTTTGTATATAATTAAATATGGGGAACTAGAATCATTTTCTTTAGACCTTTGGTAAAAAGGAAAACATATAATAAGGTTCTTTCAACAGCATACAAGTCTTGTGCCAAACAAATTTTGAGTTATAAGAACTGTGAATTATTTTTAGTTGAATTTAATTTTGATTTCTTATATTTTGTTTTGCCAATAAGAATTTTAACTCCTTACTAACAAATCATATCATTTGATTTCACATAGGTTTTTGAAAACTAAAACACTAACATTAGCCAAATAAGTCGAGGGCAAAGTGTGAACATCAAAACACTAAAACCACTAACTTTTCACATTATATATTTTTATTTTATTGTGTTTTTTTCTCTCATATTAACCACTACTAACATTAAGTAGTAGCAGCTTTTTTGGCCAACTAGGCTTGAAATGGTAACAATAACTAAATTCCTAACGATTTGGAGAACAAATTAGACCACAAAACAATAACATTCCTCCCTTATTGTTTCTCCAATGATCTCAAACATTTTCTAGCCTTGTGGATTTAAAATTTAGTTTGCTACTACTTTTTCATACATTTTTCATTAATTTTTTATTTGAAGACACAAGACTAAAGTTGAGTCAAGACAATGCAGTTTAAAGAAACCCAGCCTCAGGCACAGAGTATTGTAAACTCTCACACCCACACAAATGTTTTTAATGACAATTTAAAAGATACAAATTAATATTGCGGCATTCTTTCTTTCCACACATATATGATAAGTTGAAGTTAATATTAATTTGCCATAATTTGCACAGCAAGTTGTTAGTCTTAATTTTATGAAATGAGTTCCGTTTGAAAATAAAGAAAACTGAAAATGCCGCAAAACACCCACATATGCCGTCAATACATACACAACAAATAAAAAAAATATGAAAAAAAACAAGACATGTATTTGTTACTTTGAAAGAAAAAGAGAAAATATATGTACACAAAAAGGTCTCGAAAATTTATTTTTATCTTTTACTATTTTAAAATAAACCTGTTTTAAGGTTAAAAAACAAATAAAAAAATATTATTAAAATAAAACAAAGAAACAAACCCCCTAAAATGAATTCTTTTTATTTCTATTTATTGCATGATTAATTAGAGTGCATGTATGTATATTTTAAGTTTAATTCAAGGAAATATATTGAAAAACGCTTTTATTGTTCAGGTTTAATGCAAGATTTTGTATATAATTTATATTCTTATTTTTGGTAATGTACTGGATCGTAACATAAGCTCCAAAACAATAATTTTTAGTTTTAGTTTAAGTTCGGTTCAACAACAGCTCAAAATAACAAAAAGGGCGTTCATATTGAATTTTTAATTTTTACGTTTAGGTTCCTGGATTAATTTAATTTTATGATTTAAGTTTAGCTATACATTTTAAATATGGATAATAATATTTAATTTAATTTTTATTTTAAGCCCATATTAAAATCAGAAAAAAATTATTTAAAAAAACAACAAATACGCTTTTTGCATTAAAATGTATAATAAAAATGTATAAACATATATTGATAACAAGTAAAAAAAAAAACAAACAATGTGTTTTATTGTATCGAAAAGAAAGAAAAATTTATTCAAAATGTTATTTAAGAAAAACTTGGAATAATGAACATTTTTTAAACAAATTACTGGAAAATCTTCGCCTGCTCTTTTGTTCCAAATAATATGTTTGGTTGGGATTTTGTTCTTTCCCCCAAAAAATGTGGAAATTTGCACCCATTTATGGTAAAATTTTTATAGGAGTTCTGTTTTTATTTTGGCTTTATTCTCCTTTAATCTGAATTGAGATGAATGCACATATTGACCAAAACTATCCTGGTTGCCTGGGAACACTCTACGGATTCATTTAAATTAAGGGTGATTTTTAGCAATTATTTTTTGGCAACGCTGGTTTAAATAACTCGCGCTCGTTCCGATTTCTGCTAATCCGGTTCTAACTCCAGGTTTAAATATTTAGCTACCTTCACGGGCTGTAACCAAAGATCTTCTGGAATGAAAGAGGTTGCTTTGGCAGGACAATACATGTTTCCATTTTTAGTGTTTTGTTTTACTGTCAAACATCTTCAGTTTGGTCAAAAATTTAAACAGTAATCGTGTTGCAAATCATTGTTAATAAATGCTTGCTCTGTTAAGAATGGATACGTAAATAAGAACTTCCGATTTTGGAGTGAACTTAGTCATAATCATTGCTAAAGCTACCAATGCACCCAAAAAAGCACGCTTTTTTTTTGAAAAAATGTCTTTAAAATAACCACCTCTCACATTGATTTATGACAATATAAATATTTTACATTTGGCCCGGTTTTTTTCAAATTCGTCCTATAAGGGTACAAAAATTCTAATTCTTCCATATACAGATACCGCTAATATTGAGTGCTAGACTGGTGAATACTTAGGGTTGCCTATGATAAACTACGAATTTTGAAAATATGTACTAGAAGGGAAGAAAAGTGCTTAAAAGTACTCAATATGGCACCATTTGTATTGGGCGAACGGTTGAAGCAAGAATTCTGGAACTTGAAGGGGTGGAGTATAGCATAGATTTACCAAAAGAAATTCGAAGTGTACGAAACTCGGTTATCGTAGTAACAAGTAAAAAAGCAGTAAGTTCGGCAGGACCGAACATTGAATACACTCCACCATTTGGGACGAATTTAGAAATTTTCAAAAAAAATAACATTCGCCGTTATATTGGGGTCTATACGAAGACGTAGACCTGCATAGGCAACTTTTGTCATAAGCTATATAGAAATACGAACCTAGAAAATATCCGGGAATAATGTAGGTAAAATCATTAGAATACCGAATATAGGGAAGTACTGATATATGGGGCTTCTACGAAGGCCTGGACAAATTTTCTGTCATAGACTGTAGTTCCCATTACGAACTCTAATACGAAATTTGAAACAACCGCTGGCTATAAGGTGGCTATACGATATCGTAGACTTATATAGACAATTCTCTTCCAGGGGTAAAGTACTCAAAAGGAACTCCTTGTGTTTATTTTCAGACAATTTTATTGAAAAATTTGGCAAAAATCATGAAAATACCGAATATCGGGTAGTACCGTTGTATGGGGGCTATACGATATTGTGGACCGATATAGCCCATATTAGAACTTGATCTGCCTGCAGACAAAAGACTGATCTGTGCAAAATTTTAGCTTCCTATCTTTATTCGTTTTGACTCTAGCGTCATTACAACAGAGGACAGTCGGACGGACAACCTGACAGGGCTAAATCGTCTTAGAATTTTACGCTGATCAAGAATACTTCCAAATGGGCATACCGATGTGATATAAATGCTACTGTGTTACTAATTGTTACTGATATATAACATATCTTCTAACATATAATTAGGCCGCTAATTAAACATGATTTTCCTATTTCTTCCCACCAAAGGGACAGGTTTCGCATTTGGGAGGCCTATAGTGGAATTCTTTAACTCATTTTAAAAGTCGGCAACATTAAAATGCTTATAATTTCGGTAATTAAGGAAATTTATAGGTAAGTTAGCAACGAATTCAAAGTAGTCGCCAAGACCTACCGATAGATACCAGTGTTTTCAACCTTAACTTAATTTTTTTTATCAAAAATTTGAGTTTCAAATTTACCGATTTTTGTCGGTAACTCAAAAAATGAGTTAGAGAATCGCACTACTGTTTGGACTTAAGGCGAACAAGATATGAATACAATGACTTTAGTTTAGTTTCCCAAACCTCTGTTTCTTGAGATATTAGGTTAATGAGAAAGTTTCGCATGGTATATATTTGAAAATATTCACATTTGCTGATATCCCTCACTTGTTAAAATTGTTAAGAAGTCATAATTTAGATTCAGGCTTAATATACAAGAATAAAATAGTCAGTAGAAAGACCGTTGTTGATTTGTTAAAACTCTTCTAGTGATGTTTCAATCTATATCTATAAAAGAGGAAAATGTTTGTACGTTTGTTTGTTTGTTTGTAATTTATGGACTCGAAAACCGCTGAACAGATTTTCCTGAAAATTTCCAAGTATACTACAACATCGCCTGAAAGTAACATAGGCTATATATATTTTTAAAATTCCACTCGGAACTGGAGATATAGCATCAGATTTGGAGGCACCTCTCAAAAATTTGGATTTTATATGCACATATCTATTGATCGATTACAGATATATTCTCCAAATTTAGAATAAATGACGGGATTTGATAAGAAAATATATTTGCCATTTTATATGGAAATCGGTTCAGATTTGGATATAGCTCCCATATATATTTTCGCACGATTTCATTTATTTGATGCATTAAACACGCTGTGTATGTTCGAATGTGTGACGGGATTTTATCAGAAAATAAATTTGTCAAATTATATCGAAATCAGTTTGGATTAGCTCCCATATATATTTTCGTCCGATTTCACATATTTGATGCACCAAACACAATACGTATATCCGATTTCAATGAAACTCGGCATGAGAGACTAAATGTGGTTTAAAAATAAATTTGCCAAATTATATTGAAATCGGTTTAGGTTAGGGTACATCTCCCATATATATTTTTCGGGCGATCTCATGAATGTTATGTACCAAAAGCCATATGTATGTCCTATTCCAATGGGCCAAAACCAAAACGTGAACCTACATGTTCCATTTTCAATAACAAAAGTTCTGCAGACATAATATATATTTGAGTACAATTTTGTCAATCTACTTTGTTTCTTTCGGAAGCTAGAGTGATTTCCACAAACTAACAGACGGATAGACGGACGGACATCGCTAAATCGATATAGAATTTTATGCTGATAAAGAATACATATACTTTGTGGGGTCTAACGTGTATATTTCAAGGTGTTGCAGACGGAATGACAAACTTAATATACCCTCCATACTATGGTGGAGAGTATAAAAACTACACAAAAATTTAATTGAGGGTATGATTATTACTGGAAAGTAAGTTGCTACCTCGAATTCTCTAATTGCAACTGTCAGCTGTTCCTGGCATGTTCACGCGTTGGAAGACCAAGACATTTGTTTGTTTACGCATTAAGGTATTACAATAATAAAGTTTTTAAAATTTTTGAATTTGTTTTTTTATTTATATTTTTTAACCAACAAATATTCATATATAAAATTTTGAATGCATATAAAAGCGAAAGGAGTAGCGAGGCACGCCGGGTTCAGCTAATAGCTTATAAAGTAAGTAATGAACATTTGACTGTGAATGGACCATGCTTGTTTATTTTTACCATAAAATTGAGTATATGTTTGAATATATTTCAAAAGTAGGAAAATATGGAGTGAAGAAAGTAATGAGTCTCAAGGAGTAACATTTCTCTTTGTATTTTTTGAAAAATAATAAAAAAGTAAATAAAACTTGCATGGTTTCTTTTTATATCCTCTACAAATGGTAGAAATTATTACAATAACGTATAAGTTGCTAGCTTGTTAATATGAATTCATTAAAAAATATTATTAAATTATTATTAGTATCTCCAGGAACATTATGGATTTAATTACTTTTTAACCTACAGATTAAATCAAGATTTATTGGAACATTTTTTCGATGCCTTAAGAAGCAAGGGAGGCTTGAACGACCACTCAACCCCAAAAGAATTTAGATGCCGTATGAGGAAATATATATATTGGATTTGTTTTTACCTTGACTTTATACATGTATAAATATTGGTATTTAACTTGCTCTTAGCATTCTTATTGTTACTTCCTTTTGCAGCAAACAAACCCACTTGAATGTAAATAAAACAATCAAGATTAGAACTTTCAAATTCAAGAATTAGAAAATTACGATTTGGAAGATATGATATATGAAAATGCCGAATTTCCATTTATAGAAAATGAAGATTTCCAAGACTTAAGTAGTCTTAAATACGATGCACTGGAATATATAGCAGGGTATATTATTCAGAAGCTCAATCTAGACGAGTACTTAAGTCCTGAAAACTCTTTCACCTGGGTTGACCAGATTTCCAAAGGGTCGCTTAAAAAAGCAACCAAAAGAATTTCTCATGAAAATTATTATCTACAATTGATCATCAAGATGAAATTCACAGCCGGATAACCAAAATGAGTACGTTGGTAGTTAATGTTATGCCATTATTTCTTAAAAATACATAAATGTAAGCAACAAATATTTTGCAAATAAGAGGTTAAAAATTTATGTCGGTGGTCTATAATTCGTTCTCAAACTTCTGTTTGAGGTTAGTGAGAAAAGGCTCTGGTTATTATATACCACCGAGTAGTTTACTTAACATAAATGAAGTAGGTCTTTTCTACATTAACAAGTAAAAAAGCTATATTAAAAAGTAAAAAAGTTGAATGACCTCCACCATTTGGAACGAATTGGACAACTTTTTTCGTAGGTCTGTTTATCAGGTGCGCATGATAACTTTCGATGGCATCATCCGATATCGGTCAAAATTGGTATATGTATACTATATATTGGTCCAGTCCTTCTGGTGCCTCCCCACAAACATTTTCATAGAAAATAGTTTGCTTCATAGAAAGAGTACTGATCATCTGATTTTGTTGAATCTTTGTAAATTGTAATATTTGCGTTACTACAAGATCAGGTGCGAGAATGAACGAAATCGTACTACTCCAATAGTACCTCCCCAACAAAATGCTCATAAAATACGGAGTAACCACCCAATTATTTTCAAATTTCTCACATCCCAATATTTGAACTATTACAATGTTGGATGGGAAATATATATATATATATATATATATATATATATACATATATATATATATATATATATATATATATATATATATATATATATATATATATATATATATATATATATATATATATATATATATATATATATATATATATATACATATAATCCAATAGTACCTCCCCAACAAAATGCTCATAAAATACGGAGTAACCACCCAATTATTTTCAAATTTCACACATCCCAATATTTGAACTATTACAATGTGGGATGGAAAATATATATATATATATATATATATATATATATATATATATATATATATATATATATATATATATATATATATATATATATATATATATATATATACATATATACCGGCACTCACATTCACTAATGAAAGCGGGTATCTAGTTTGATTTATGTAAATAGGTTCAGACATAACTATAATTTCCATATGTTCAACCGATTCTGCAATTAAGCTCCTTCAAAAGAGTACCATGGACCTTAAATATATGATATTCACTACGTTATTTCATAACAACCTAGAAATACATCTGCTTACTTTGTAATGTTATATCGATCAAATTGTTGGTATGATGCATCAAATGTTTCAGCAAGTATAGCTGCTCGCTTGGATATAGATATAGATTCCATATGCAAGTTTTCTCTGATTTAACATTTATTTTAGCCCTTAAATACGTTGTAGAATTATGCAGTCCAAAATTATGAAAACATTGGTTTTGGTGCAAAAATTTGAAAGTATTCATATAATATTTTGTTGTTGCAAAATGGTCAGGCTTTATCCCTTTTTTTGTTGTTTTTATAAAAACAACGTTTGTTTATTAGTTTTTGTTGTAACAGACAAAACCAACTTTCATGGTTATGCTACTTCGTTCAGGTTGAACAAAAGCATAACAAGTGGAGAAAGATGTAAGTGTTTATAAGTGCGGTTGTAAGATTTAGAAGACTTTCCAAAAGAATTTTAGTTTTATTTAATTCTTTGATTCCTCTTCTATTGAGCCTACGATCTCGTTATTTCGGTTAAAAATGTTTTTTGTCATACAAGTTATTTTTAAAATAACTTCTGGGGAGAATATCCCAGACAAAAAACAAGGGAACTGATGGGGATTGGTGGCTCTTTCCGAAACCTAGGTATTCGCAGCCTTAACCCCTGGTAAACATTACCATCGTTCTCCACTAATAAACAAACGTTGTTTTTATAAAAACAACAATAAAGGGATAAAGCCTGACCATTTTGCAACAACAAAATACTACGGTATCCCGAACAAACAAGCCACACTGTTCTATTCATATAATATTTATTACTATTTTTATACCCTCCACCATACTATGGAGGGTATTCATTTTGTCATTCCGTTTGTAACTCATCGAAATAATGATCTTAGACCCTACAAAGTATATATATTCTTGATCAGCGTAAAATTCTAAGACGATTTAGCCATGTCCGTCTGTCTGTCTGTTGTAATCACGCTAACTTTCGAACAAATTGAGATAGAAGGCTACAATTTTGCACACATGTCTATTTTGCCAGTAGGCAGGTTAAGTTCGTAAATGGGCCATGTAGGTCCACGTTTTCATATACCCCCCATATAACGGTACCTCCCGATATTCGGTATTTTGATGATTTTAGCGACATTATTCACCGGAATTGTTTCATATTTGGTATTTAAAGTTCAAAATGGTACTATAGCCTGAGATAGAAAATTTTCCGTGCAAGTCCACGACTTCGTATAGCCCCCATATAACAGTACCTTTTAGTGTCATTACTCACCGTAGTAGTTTCAAATTACGTATTTAGAGTTCGTAGTTGGAACTACAGTCCGTGACGGAAAATTGTTTATGCAGGTTCAGGTCTTCGTATAGGCCCCATATATCAGTACCTCCTTATATTCGGTATTTTGACGATTTTAGGTAAAATACTCACCGAAATTGTTTGAGATGTCTTATTTGAAGTTCGTAATGGAAGCTACAGCATGTGACAGAAAATTGTCTATGCAGCTCCAGGTCTTCGTATAGCTCCTAAATAACGGTACATCCCTATGTACGGTATTTTGATGATTTTGGCTTTATTTCAAGTTTCGAATTTGAATATGGTAATGGCCTGTGACAGACAATGCCTATGTAGGTGCACGTCTTATATGCCCTAATATAACGGCTATATTCGGTATTTTTAAAATGTTAACAGAATTTTTGGCGAATGTTATCTTTTTCGAAAATTTTCAAATTCGTTCTAAATGGTGGAGGGATTCTACCATGGTGGAGGCTATTCAAATTTCGGCCCGGCCGAAATTACTGCTTTTTTACTTGTTACATACTTGTATTTAACATTCAAAAGCATGTGTAATATATAATAATAATAACAATATATAACTTCATCCGATTTACTTTTTATTGTGAACCAAACGTCTAATATTTTTCCAAATATGATGGAAGATCGGTTCAGATATAGATTCTATAGCTCCCATATATACTGTGCATCCGATTTGTTATATTTGTTACCAGCCGTAATATGCACTCCGTAACAACGATATTATATACAGCTCAGAAATATCTTTGCCAAATTGTATCGAGATCGGTTCCGATTTGGGTATAGCACCCACACATATCTTTATCCGATTTGAAATTAACTGTGCACCAAATAGACAATACAAATGCTTCGGCATATTTAGTCCTTTGAACTTTAAATCATAATTATCATAGCGTGTATGATTCAATTCTCCCATAAAAACTTTTTTTGTTATGCGGAGCTCTACTAAATTAGCAAAGAGGTGTAGGGTATCATAAAGTCGGCCCCGCCCGACTTTAAGACTTTCTTTACTGGTTCCGTTTCTAACTCCTCGAAATATTCATAATTGACCCTACAAGGTATACATATTCTGGATCAGCGTAAAATTCTAAGCAATCCAAGTACTCGCATAGCCCCCATATAACGGTACCTCCTTGTCTGTACAGGTCCACGTCTTCGTATTTGATGTTCGTAAAGGGCACTACAGCCATGACGAAAAACTTTGTATACATGTCCACGTCTTCACATAGTCCCCATAAAACGGTTTTTATTTAAATTGTAGTTTTCGGAATTTTTTTTGAATTTTTTAAATCTCCTTCGACATGGTGGAGGGTATTAAAAGTTCGGCCCGGCCGAACTTACCTTCTTTTTTACTTGTTACAATTCAAAACAATGGTACAATTAAAAGGTAAGGTAGAGCTACCAGCTGATTACAATGTTTTTCTATGTGTGCCCGACTTCTGCCAATTTTGTGTATATATTTATTGTTTTGAAACATAAAAACAAAATATTTTCAAAAAAATGATTGGAAGAAACAAATAGTGCGGGGCGCGTATTAATGATACTAACCAGATTTGCCCCGGAATTGAAAGATTCAACACTAAGGAACATATTTTTGAGAGAACATCCAATCATTTCATCCATCTTTCACGCTATTTGACTCATTTTAAATATGAACAAAAATATCAAATAAATGAAAACAACTTGTTGGATATAATTATGAATAATTCTGACAGGAAGTGGGCATAGCCTCAGGGCTGTATTTCTGTAGTTTTACGAAGCTGTTCTACCTCCTTATTGTACCATGTTCAAAACGAAACCAAATATTTACAAAAGTTTAAAGGTACATTTGAATTTTTGTAATTGTCATATCGATGACAACCGACACAAAAATATCGACTCTGCTTTGACATAATAGGGGCACTAGGAGAAAAAAAGTAATCAGCAATTAGCTTTACACTACCTCTCTGATTTTACAAACCATGGCTCAATGAAAAGGTTGCTCAACTTAAAAGAAACTAGAAAAATGCAACTCTGTGCTGGAGTCTTATAGTGTCAAATAGACATTTAAATAGCCAACAGTTGGCTTTGTTTATGTTTATTTTTTTAAACAAAATTCTTATATTGGGAAAAACCCGCGAAACAAGAATGGAGTTTCCACAAGATGGAATCCAAAATAGTAGGACAATACAGTTTTATCCCAAAATTAAATAATTTGTAACCCATTTACGTCGAAAAATTGCATTTATTTTGCAACTAAATATGAAATAATTTAAAATTATTGTACCTATGTACGGTATTTTGATGATTTTCAATTTCAATTTTAGAATTTGAATATAGTAATGGCTTGTGACAAACAATGCCTATGTAGGTGCACGTCGTACAGGCCCTAATATAACGGCTTTATTCGGTATTTTTAAAATGGTAACAGAATTTTTGGCGAATGTTGTTTTTCGAAAGTTTTCAAATTCGTTCTAAATGGTGGAGGGTATTCAAAGTTCGGCCCGGCCGAACTGACTGCTTTTTTACTTGTTACATACTTGTATTTTACATTCAAAAGCATGTGTAGCGAATACCAAAAATTCAGATATCGCAATTTAAAGTGGAATTTTTAACATCTTTTTTGGCCAAATATTTTTGCTTAGATTTTTGTAGTTTTAAATGGATATTAAGATTTTTAATTCGAAAATAAATGCGATATTAAAAAAAGGATGACATAACATTAACTACCAACGAACTCATTTTGGTAATCCGGCTGTGAAGTTCTTCCTGATGATCAATTTTAGATAATAGTTTTTATGAAAAAGGCCTTTGGTTGTTTTTTTTTTAAGGGACCCTTTGGAAATCTGGTCAACCTTGGTGAGAACTCTTTTAAGTACTCATCAAGATTGAACTTCTGAATAATATTCCCTGCTATATATTCCAGTACATCTTTTTTAAGACTACTTAAGTCTTTGAAATATTAATTTTCTATAAATTGAAATTCGACATTTTCTATATCTTCCAAATCGTAATTTTCTAATTCTTGAATTTGAAAGTTCTGATCTTGATCGATTTATTTACATACAAGTGGGTTTATTGGCAAGGTACCAGGAATTTTACTTGATGTAATCCAGTGGGTTGAGTAGGTAGTACGTTTCCAGTGCTTTCTAAAAGTGCTGTGTTTCGAGCTGCAAAAGGAAGTGTCAATAAGAAAGCTAAGAGCAAGTTAAATATCAATTTTTATACATGTATAAAGTCAAGGTAAAAACAAACCCAATATATATATTTCCTCATATGGTATTTAACTTTCTTAAGGGGTTGAGTGGTCGTTCAAGTCTCCCCCGCTTCTTAAGGCACCGAAAAACTGTTCCAATAAATCTTGATTTAATCTGTAGGTTAAAATGTAATTAAATTCATAATGTTCCTAGAGAAACTTAAAAAGCATTATCAGCGCGTTGTTAGTCATTATGATTTCTTTTTGGCTACTTACTTTTCCTTCCCAGAATCATAGGTACAGATGCAGCTTTTGTCATTTCCTCGAGGATTTCCATTTTCTATCCATACGATATTCTAAATGGTTCCTATAAATGTCTATACTATGTTTCCAGATGTGGTTATAATTTTTGAAAATATTTACTTTTCCAGGATATTTAAAAGTATTTATATTTGTGTTAGGGACAGTCGTTCACTAGTTGAATAAATTCAGCCGTAATATGAGCTTTATATACCGCTAATCCATGAGCATAACATCTTAGAATTGCGTTTGCCGTAGTATTTGAAATTAATTAAGCCGCTAATTTTATATTTTGCTATTCTGCACATTAATTTGGAATTAAAAAATGAATTCATATTTACAAGCTAGCAACTTATACGTAATTGTTATAATTTCTACCACTTGTAGGGGTAGATAAATGATGAGGATATAAAAAGGAAACCATGCAAGTTTAATTTACTTTTTTATTATTTTTCGGTAAATACAAAGGGAAATGTTACTCCTTGGGCTCTTTAATTTTCTCACTCCAAATTTTCCTACATTTAAAATATATTCAAACATATACTCAATTTTATGGTTAAATTAAACAAACCTGCTCCATTTACAGTCAATTGTTCAAATTTGACTTTATAAGCTATTGAAAAAATCACTAGAGGATGTATGCTTTAATAAATCAACAACGGACTTTATAGTGACTATTTCATCCTCGTATATTAAGCCTAAATCCAGATAATGACTTCTTAACAATTTCTACAAGTGATTTCTCCATAATTTTTAGCTTATCGGGCCCATGTCATTGTATACTTTTTATAATAATATCGCTTTATCCATTTCACGGTCAAAATCAAAAAAAAGAATATATATATATATTGTTTATAATGTATTACTATAGGTTTCGATGTTTACAAATATTCGACAAATCAATTCACTCAAAACTTTTTGTATCAAATTTAGTGCTATCTAGTACAGTTTTTATACATAGTACCGCTCTCATGAAGCGAAACGGTGACAAATGTAGTGCCTTTACTGTGATTTTCCAATAACCCTTTGCCGCATCCTTTATATACTCGATCTTACACCTTCGGACCAAGAGTGACCCTCACCCAAAATTTCAAGATTCTAGCTTCAGCAGTTTTGTGTGTCCGATGTCAGTCAATTACTTTGCTCCTTTATTAATATAGATACCTTCCAATATACTATGAAGGGTATACTAACTTTGGCATTCCATTGGAAACTCCTCGATAATTCAGGTTAGACCCTACAAAGAATAAACTTTCTTAATCAGCGTATCATTCTAAGTTCGTTATGAGCTCATCCGGAACATTTTGTTTAGGTTTTCTTATAGCCCCCATGTAATGATACCTCCACGAATTTAATAAAATTTGATGATTTTAGCCACATTTTCAACTGTGAACGAAAATTTATACCTAATCTCACATCATTATCTTTTTGTTTAATTCGTAGTGAAGGGTATTCCCCATATATCTAAAATAAAATTTATCATTATTTATCTTACTCACTCAGTCTGTGTCTCAGAATCGTTCATTTTAATTGTGTATTCAAATAAAGTGTTGCTGTAACAAATGGTTTGCCAAAATAATACTATATTTCCTGCAAAACGTATCCTATTGAACTTACTCTGTTTCCATTTGATCTTGTTTCATTCTGAAAAGGAGTATATTGAAAAATCCAATATTTTTTTCGAGGAAAAAAAGAAAAACGATCTTATCCAATTTGAAAATCTATTTCATTCCGTTCTCCTGGAAAGCTGATGACATTCGTTCTTAATACAAAGAAACTCGTTATGTTTTATTCTGATTGTATAATTACACTTACTCATGATTATTTTTCGCAGTAGCCAATGGAATAGCGGTCGGCATCAACGCATCCTCGAATTCCGAAACACTATATCACTTGTTAAAAAGTGGGCTTCGCAAATGCGGTCATTTGGTCCAAATGAAATTTCACATGCTTGTGACCACTTCAACCTTCTTATGCAGTCATCTGGAACCTTAAAAAATTACCGTTCTGATGCCAAACTTTTTTTACACAAAGCTCAACTTCGCATTTTACACCCTCCACCATTCCATGTCCACGTCTTCGTATAGTCCCCATAAAACGGTTTTCATTTAAGTCATTTTTTTGAAATTTTTCAATTTTCTTCGACATGGTAGAGGATATTAAAAGCTCGGCCCGACCTTACCTTCTTTTTTGCTTGTTATAATTCAAAACGAAACCAAATATTTACAAAAGTTGAAATCTTTAAAGTTACATTTGAATTTTTGTAATTGTCATATCGATGACAACCGACACAAAAATATCGACTCTGCTTTGACATAATAGGGGCACTAGGAGAAAAAAAGTAATCAGCAATTAGCTTTACACTATTTTTCTGATTTTCCAACCATGGCTCAATAAAAAGATTGCTCAACATCAAAGAAACTAGAAAAATGCAACTCTGTGCTGGAGTCTTATAGTGTCAAATAGACATTTAAATAGCCAACAGTTGGCTTTGTTTATTTTTAATTTTTTTTAAACAAAATTCTTATATTGGGAAAACCCCGCGAATAAAGGAGTTTCCACAAGATGGAATCCAAAATAGTAGGACAATACAGTTTTATCACAAATAAAATGGATAAAAAAAATCCATTTACGTCGAAAAATTGCATTTATTTTGCAATATGAAAATAAGAAATAATTTCAAATTAGTGTAATTATACCCTTCACCATACGATGGAGGGTATATTAATTTTGTCATTCCGTTTGTAACTCCTCGAAATACTCATGTTAGACCCGAGAAAGTATATATATTCTTGATCAGCGTAAATAACGATTTAGCCATGTCCGTCTGTCTGTTGAAATCTCGCTATCTTTCGAACGAATTGAGATAGAAGGGTAAAATTTTGCACACATGTTTATTTTGTCAGTAGGCCTTGTCAGTGGGCCTTGTAGGTCCACGTTTTCATATGGCCCCCATATAACGATACCTCCCTATATTCGGTATCTTGATGATTTTAGCGACATTATTCACCGGAATTGTTTCAAATTTGGTGTTTGAAGTTCGTAATAAATACTACAGCCTAAGGCAGAAAATTGTCTATGTAGGTCTTTGTATACCCCCATATAACTGTACCTCCAAAAATTCGGTATTTTGACGATTTTAGCGTCATTATTCACCGTAGTAGTTTCAAATTACGTATTTAGAGTTCGTAATGGAAACTATAGTCTGCGGCAGAAAATTGTCTATGGAGGTCGAGGTCTTCGTATAGGGCCCATATATCAGTACCTCCCTATATTCAGTATTTTCACGAAATTGTTTGAGATGTCGTATTTGATGTTGGTAACGGAAGCTACAGCCAGTGCCAGAAAATTGTCTATGTAGGTCCAGGTCTTCGTATAGCTCCGATATAGCGGTACCTTCCTATGTAAGATAGTTTGATGATTTTCGCTACATTATTCACCGTTTATTTCAAGTTTCGAATTTAAATGTGGTAATGGCTTGTGACAAACAATGCCTATGTACGTGCACGTCGTACATACCCTAATATAACGGCTATATTCGGTATTTTTAAGATGTTAGCAGAATTTTTGGCGAATGTTATCTTTTTCGAAAATTTCCAAATTCGTTCTAAATGGTGGAGGGTATTCAAAGTTCGGCCCGGCCGAACTTACTGCTTTTTACTCGTTTTTATTCAAAACAATACACAAAATACGTATATGTTTTGACAGAGTAAGAGCACCAAAAGAAAAACAAGCAAAAAAGCAGTAAGTTCGGCCGGGCCGAACTTTGAATACCCTGCACCATTTGGAACGAATTAGAAAATTTTCAAAAAAATAAAATCCATTAAATTTTTTTTTTTAATCTTTACAATATCTAATATAGGAAGGTGCCGATATATGGGGGTATATATGGTATTGTGGACCTATTAAGACAAATCTATGTCTGGGTGTAAAGTACTCACAAGGAACTCCTTGTGTGGATTTTCAGATAATTCCATTGGAAAAAGTGGCTAAAATCATCAAACTACTGAATATCGGGGGGTACCGTTATATGGGGGATATACGAATTAGCGGACCTATATAGACAACTCCTTGTGTGGATTTTCAGACAATTCCGTTGAAAAATGTGGGTAAAATCATCAAAATACCGAATATCGGGGGGTACAGTTATATGGGGGATATACGATATCGTGGACCGATATAGCCCATCTTCGAACTTGACCTGCCTGCAGACAAAAGAGAAATCTGTGCAAAATTTTAGCTTCCTACCTTAATTCGCTTAGACTGTAGCGTGATTACAACAGACGGACGGACAGGGCTAGATATATATACTTTGTTGGGTCTAAAATGATTATTTCGATGAGTTACAAACGGAATGACGAACTTAATATACCCTCCATACTATGTATGGTGGAGGGTATAAAAATTATTGGGGGGTACCTTTGTTCTACCTAATGTAATTGAGCCATGATTCCAACACAGGAAAGGTCCATAATAAATGTAGTTTTTGAACAAGATTATTTTTCGTAAAAACAATTTAATAGGAACTATACCATATCTAAAGAGAGGCAGAATGAAGTACTGAGGAGAATGACCGTAGCTGTTTCTGACCCATGATTCCGGGAAAAGAAAGGGGGTGTACTTTCCAAAAACGTATCATGATGACAAATAATGCGCTATGCATGCTTCATGAATATCTCTTCATGAAAAATTCGGTGTGAGATATATATTAACAAATCGATTCAATAATGACTTTTTAAAACGACCACCCGGTTCCAAAGGATTTTAAACGCAGAAGGTGAAAATATATTCTGGATTTGTATTAATGTATACTTTTACGATGTATTTTTATCAGTGTGTGAATATTAAGTATAACTTACAATTCTTATCTTATTTATCTAGCTCTAAGCACGGAATTAATGGATAACACAGGAAATGCTAATAATGACCCTAATCAATAGATATCTTCCTTACATCTGCCTATAGCAATGACGCAAATCAAAAAACGAATATATAAAAGAAATAAAAGATTTTCCGGATATTGGAACTTTAAAAGATGATGCGCTGGAGAATATAGCGGGATATATAATTCGAAAGGTGGACCTCCAAGAGGTCGTAAGCGAAGAAAAAACATATACTTGTCTTGACCAAGTATCCTAACGGTTTCTAAATAAAACTGTAAGCCATTTTCACAGTTTAAACGGCATTAAGCGTTTTATATATATATATATATATATATATATATATATATATATATATATATATATATATATATATATATATATATAAGTTAATGTTAGAAGTTAAAGTTTATTTCACACTGCTATGGTGTTTCTTTATTTTGTTACTAACATTTATGTTGCGGTGCTATGCACCTCTCTTGTTGGATTTACAATTATGAATTACTTCAACTTAAAACTAATATTATACTGCAGCCTGGTCGTGCTCGTTATTACGCTGAGTCATCACTTGCGGTGCGCTGGTATTAGTGCGCGTGTTTGTGGCGGATGACTGCCCTGGTGTCATATTCCTGTTGATTTGTCGGACTGCTTGCGCAGCATAATGATGGGAATGTTTACTAGTTGGTTTGCATATTTAGTTTGATGTTTATTAGGGTGAGCCGTTAACTCCTCCCTCTCGAATTATCAAGCGTCTCGATTGATGTGTTTAGAAATATGGCAGATTATAAAGACTGCCGCGTTGATTCAAGTTAATATTGTGGTTTGCTAGTTCTTTTGTTTTGATAACAGATTCTGTTGTGCCGGCTGCCAATTGGCTTTCTGACACAGTCATTTCTATTTGAGGTCTAGACATTCCTTCATGTGGGGTCATTTTTATAATTTTCATACTAGTTTTGCGCCTTTGCCTCATTTTTACTGCCATCAGGAGGATGACCAATGCTAATATGAGACTGATGTTAAAACATAAACTGGTCTTGAATTCAGTATTTAGACGCTCGATTCTTTTATTACTTTTCACGTGCAACGTTTTTAGTAGTTGTAGAGATAGTATTTCTTCGGTGTAGTTGTTTCTAGCTGAGTGTTTTAGTAGCGCAGGCAACGGTTTGGAGTAAGCAGCTTCTTCGACGGTGAAATTTTTGTTGCCTATCCTAATTGTAGAATTACTAAATCTTATTAAATAAGTTCCTGTTACATTTTTTTCGTTTTCATTTATGACAATATTTTCTTTTATGTTATTTATCAAAATTAATCCAGGTTCTATTTCCTCTAAATTATTAATGTGATCTGCATTTACTATTGAACAATTATGTGGGCTATTAGTTACTAATTTAGGAATACATGTATTGTTTGTTATATTGGCTACATTAGATTCTAGACATAATTCAATACCATTTATTTTTTGACAAGGACTTTTAATTCCAAATGTTGCTCTTTCACATTTTACAATTTTCTTATAATCAAGATTTAAAACAGTATTTTGATTTTTTACAGGTCTTATGGTTATGACATTACAAATTTCTTTTACAGTTTTGGGAATGCTTATAATGTAAATTATATTAGTACTATTGTTTACAATTTTTATTCGTGCGAAATTTAAAGCTTGTTCAATGTTTTGAAACGGGATTTCATCTTGATTAAATATTTCTTCTATTTTTCTAATTTCTATTTCCGATAAAATAAATGTGTTTACAATGTTGGATTTTGTTAAATGAATGGCCGAATTAATATTCGTTATTTCCTCCTTTAAAATTTCAACTTTGTACTTTGCCTGCAATATGAGGGTATTACGGAAGTCCTCACTAGTCTTTAAAATTTTTGAAATACTATTTGTCGCATTCGTTATCTCCTGCATTCTTTCTATTAGATCTCTGTTGATTATTAACTGGTTATTGCTGTTGTCTGTTAACTCATTGATTTTGTTTTTCAAAAGCATAAGGTCATCATGGTCTGGACTACCTGCCAGCCATTTCCACGCCGTTCCAATCTCATCAAGAGATCTTTTAGATCTCTCTTCAGGCATTAGCCGATTTATAAGGTGAGATAGGGTAGTGATGTCATTATGTAGGAAGGGGAGTAGTGGGTGGTTGTCTGGAATTCCTTTGGCCAAGTCGTCCTTGATCCTCTCTAGAGTGTCATGATATTCCTTGATGTTAATAACATGCAAAATTTTGAATGTCCCTGTTTGTATTTTTCCTATTCCACTCTCTATAAGAACCACTTCTGATTGAGAGTAGTCCAATATTTCTGTGACCCCTAGGCAACCTGTAATTAAGAACTGGAAACCCGGTAAATAAGTAAGTCAGTTTCTGATATGACTCTTATGG